CCCACTGCCCCGTATAGAGGTCGCAATAGACTGCTGACATTCGGCGTCTTATTTTTGCTCCGTAGACTTACGATCTGGTTATTGGCAAATTCCGATGCACCCAGAGGACAAGGAAAAGACTGCCTTTGTAACCCCTGATGGGCTCTTTGAATTCAACGTGATGCCATTTGGACTGTGCAATGCACCGGAAACGTTCGAGAGGTTTATGCACACCATTCTGCGTGGCTTGAAGTGGAACAACTGCACGTGCTACCTCGACGACGTCGTCATCTTTGGCCGCACGTTCAGTGAACACAACTCTCGTCTGGACACTGTTTTGAACTGCATCCGAAACGCTGGTCTAATTTTAAACCCGAAGAAATGCCACTTCGGAGACCGCCAGACACTTGTGCTCGGGCATCTCGTTGACAAGGATGGCATCCGCCCTGACCCCCAGAAGAGAGCAGCAGTTGAGGCGTTCAATGCGCCGCGTTCTGTCATCAGCTTCGTAGTTTCCTGGGGCCTTGTTCGTACTTCCACCGCTTTATTCCGAAGTTTGCCGACGTTGCGTACCCTCTCACATGCCTCTTACGATAGGACCATTCCTTTGAGTGGACTCTGGAGTTTGATTCTTCATTCCGTCAATTGAAGTTTTTGCTGATGTCACGACCCGTCCTTCAGCACTTCAGTCGTTCCGCTCCGACAGAGCTTCGTACGGAGGCTAGCGGCATAGGTATTGGAGCCGTCCTAGTACAACATTACGGCGACTGCGAACACGTCATCGCATACGCAAGTCGCTTCCTAAGCAGGCCGGAACAAAACTACACTGTTACGGAACAAGAATGCCTGGCGGTATTATTTGCAATTTAGTGGTTTAGGTCTTACCTGTACGGACGCCCATTCACAGTCGTAACCGACCACCACTCGTTTTGTTGGCTTGTCAACCTTCGTGACCCTTGTGGCCGCCTTGCGCGCTGGGCACTCCGGCTACAAGAATACAGTTTTACCGTCGCTTGCAAGAGTGGTCGTCGACATGCTGACGCGGACTGTCTTTCACGTATGCCACTTAGCACAACAGACAGTGGATCCGACGACCTTGACCAGCTTATAGCTCTGTGTCGCCTACGTTCCCGGACTATCCCAGTTTCAGAGCAGAAAAGCGGAAGGACGCTAAACTAGCACCACTATTCGCCGATGCATCCGCTTCCACTAGTGCACGCCGTTTCAGTATGCGTGATGGACTGTTGTTCAAAAGGAACCTCTCAAGCAGTGGCGCGCGTTTCCTTCTAGTGGTCCCGGAGAGCCTGCGAACAGTTATTATGAGTGTCATGCACGACGACCCTACATCTGGACATTGAGGTTTGGCGCGAACGCTTCACTGGACTAAAGAGCGCTTTTATTTGCCTGGTATGCAGAAGTCTGTTGAGAGTTATGTGGCAAGCTGCATGCAATGTCAGTGTCACAAACGTCCATCAACTGGTCCAGCTGGTCTTCTACAGCCGATGCCTACTCCAAGCACACCTTTCGAACAAGTAGGCATTGACTTTCTGGGCCCCTTCCCAAAATCGGCTAAGAGCAACCGATGGATATTTGTTTGCGTCGACTGCCACACACGCTACTGCGAGACGGCGGCCGTCCTCTCCGCAACTGCCAGTGAAGTCTCGTCGTTTTTGTTACAGTATGTCATCCTCCGACATGCCCACCTCGCCTGATTATCAGTGATCGTGGACGACAATTCACAGCGCATGTCGTGGAGGAGCTGCTCCGTTTATGTGAATCCCGCCTGCGTCACTCGACACCATACCACCCCCAAGCTAATGGGCTGACGGAGCGTACCAACCGCACCATTATGAACATGTTGTCTATGTATGTCTCATGCGACCACAAGAACTGGGATGACGTACTCCCGTTCATTACTTACCCACTTAACACCGCGAAGCATGAGATTACAGGCTATAGCCCTTTCTTTTTGCTTTATGCACGTTCGCCCCGGCACACAAGCGACACAATATTGCCTTTCTGTGACCACTACAACGTCACTGTCGCCGAGACTCTCTGCCTCACCGAAGAGGGGCGTCGCATAGCTCAGCTACGCACATTGGCATCGCAAGACAAAGCGAAGGCACGCTATATAACATTCACCATTGTCCAGTGATTTATCGCCGTGGTGATCTGGTGTGGTTGTGGTCTGCGATGCGCGATTGCGGGTCATGCCAAAAGTTTTTGGCCACTTACGATGGACCTTTTGTCATTGTCGACAGACTTACAGAGGTCAACTATGTAATAGCTCGTCTCACGGTGAGTGGTCGACGAGAAGCCAAAACTCAAGTGGTTCATGTTGCCCGCCTGAAACTGTACACGCCACGACAACTCGACTGACTCGTCCGGCGGCCTTCGTCTGCGCGGAGAGGAATGTTGAGTACATGCACGAAGACAAAGAAGCGTATACGGCGAACGCACTTGTGGCCCAGAGCGAGAGAGGAAGAAGAGGATCAGGAGGATCTTTAACCAGTCGGCCGCTGCTGAGCTGCCCCTCATGACCTAATAAACGGCCCCTTTCAACGTCTACCAGTCTCTTTCAAACGTAACTATATATATATATATATTCGGCTAACGCTCATCACAAGCAGTGACAAGGTGCTAGATGTGTGTGCGCGGCTTGTGAGCTGTCGAAAGTCTTATTGCTTTGATAACAAAGCCACGAGTATTAAGTTCGCTTTATGATGGGAGCTCGCTTAGCGTGCCCAAGGGATGTACGGAAGCTCAGCTTGCAGTATTGTTGGCACATTTTGTTGTTACAGGGCTGTCTGCACAACCAGAGTACGTAAGAGAAAGTGTGCTTTATTTGTCTCAGTCTCTGTGTATTAGTAGTGCAGATAGTCCTGTAACACAATGTGCCAACAATACTGCAAGCTGCTGTAAAGATTCCATACTTCGCAATAGGTACACCAAGCAAGCTCACATCATAAAGCGAACTCAGTGCTCGTGGCCTTCACATCAAAGTAACAAGACTTTCGACCACCCACAAGACGCTTACATTTCGCACCTTGTCGCTGCCTGTGATGAGAGTTAATCAAAAAGGAAACCTCGTGCTTTGCGGTGAACTGGGCTACAAAGGAACGCAGGAAGCGTTCTGAAGGCCAATTGGTAATTTTTTTTTCTTAAAACAACAAAAATATTTGATTAGACTTATTAGATTTCTTAACCATGAAGTGCTCCATCAAACGCTTCATCGCGAGTATTTTTCATTGGACGGCATCAGTACAAAAAATGCGTTCAAATATGGGACAAATCGCATAATTCTGCAATTTCCAAAAATTTTCCGGGAATATTTGAAGTTGATACCGCCCCTAAACAATTTTGACCAAAAGTAAGCGTTCCTGCAAGTCACAATAATATTAACATTGCTTAGAAAGAGTATCAGCTAGCATAGGAAAAAATGAAGTTTGAAGATTTTCGTGTTTACTGCTAGGTAAACACGAAAATTTCTGAATGCTTGAGTAGAATAAAAAAAAAAAACCTTTTTAGTAGCTTACGCACTGTATTGAATTTCTGTAAACTATTAATATTTTTATACATTTTTCTATATGTCACACTTTGGCGAAAGCAAGCGAACCTTGAAGAGGCACCACGGTCTTGGTAAACTTTTTCGAGCAAGAATGTTTGCCTGTGATACCCCATGGGGTATGCTTGAATGATGTAAATTTTATTGGCAGAATCTGTGGCGGTCGAGCGCAACGTCTGGGGCACTTGGCATAGAAGAACGCATATACAGGGTGTTCCATGTAACTTTAGTCAGAGTTTGAAAATAAGCCAGAACACGTAATCACGTCGCGACCAAATGCATGTTGCTCACCGTTGCCTGGAGTTAGACTATTTTTTGTGTTCTCAAACATTGTTTAATTAGATATGTTTATTAACTAACTTTTCAAGAAATGATGATAGATAAAAAATTCAATGAGAATGTTATAGATCGGCTTGCAAAACGTCTGATTAGGCGATTTTGCACTTTTTGTCTGTTAGGTAGTGTTTTTCTGCTAATTACTAATGCCCGGTAAATACATGAAATAACACGTGACAAACACCTTCGTGCGCCAGTGCACAATGATTCTAGTGCTTCCTAACGTTCCGATTCATTTTCAACTTTTGAACCAAACCCTGCAGACGTTCATTTTAAACTATTCTATTCGCACTTCTGCCACGATGCCTGAACGAATCTTTTTGAAACTTGGCATGCTAAGTGTCTCCCCCCCCCCTCCCTAGGAGGCAATTTACTTATGCAGGCCACGAGCTGCATAGGCACCGGTAGATGCCTCCGGAAGTACGGAGACCAGTGCGCGAACATCGCCAGGCAAAATTTCTTTTTGCGGCTTACCAAGTGCCTTCTTTCAGCACGCGGAGTGATTATGGTATTGTGGAAAGGCTGTTCACTGATACGAGAGAAATCTTCTGTCTCGCTGTGCTCGCTTTCATAAACCATCCAGTGATATTCTAGATAATGGAGTAGGCGATTGCAAAAAAGAAGAAGATATTTACATGCCAGTAAAAGCTACTAAGCGTCGTAACGACGAGAAAAGTGAAAAAAATCAATAGAAAATGAAGTATTGATGCAAATAAAGAGAAAAAAGATCAAGAAAAAATGTGGGGGAGACAATAAGAAAGCCAATGCGCACAAAAGATGAACACCTAAAGCATCGGTACTAACTCGCACAGACTAGCGTAACGCCGTCGAGTATCCACATAATAAAGAATATTGTGAGAAACAGTGCCAGATTTTGAAAGTTTAAGAATGAGGACTGCTGGGATTTCCCATCCCATCCTAAAATCACAATGTGGTTATCATGGACGTTCCAGTGAAGGGCTTCTGAAATTACGGCCTCTTCCGGTTTTCGATCATGAATCGGCAACGAAACGTTTCACCTAGCTATCTACAAGGGACACTTAAGTTCCAGCCAAGACGGCTGCAGTGCCATAACCGTAACGCTGAGAGGATAGTGCTCGTGTTGAGAAAACACGCTTACTTTTCATTTCGACTGGCTGCTGGGTGATTTTCTCGATGTTCAAGTTGCCACTGTACTTGCGTCCCTCCATCGCGGCCCACTGGCCATTGATGAGCACCATCTTCTCACCACGGTAAATGACGTCCGTTACGTGTGTGTATTTACTGATTCCGTTGTGACCCTGCGAAGAAAGCAAACCAATGGCATTCAGTGCTGGAGCACATTGCAGTGTTCCCATTGCGTTCATAACACCAAGCACTTGTCTATTGACACCAAAGAGAAAAAGTTCATCAACTAGAAATAAATAAATATACGAGCTATAAAATAAATCATTCACTATAGAAATGTGCAAGGCAAGGAAGAGGGGCCTTTAATCAACTGGCTTCCTTCGAGTGACAGCGCTGTATCCTGCTTGCTGGAAACCATTTCACGTATAGATAAATCTGGGGTAAAGAAAATACGGCCTGTGCAAAGATTAACTTCGAAGAACTTTCGCTAGGCCTTCATGGTATTGGTGATTGGTGATGTGGCTATTGCACTCACCGAGGAAGCATCTGCCTTCAGCTCAGTAATGAACTGAAAGATGGCCTCATCGTCAGCCTGGGCTTGCAGGTTCAACTTCTTCAGCTTCTCGTCAAAGTTGTACCGGCCTGAAAAACCGACAAATATCCCAACTTATCACAATCGTACCGAGCCAACTCTCTGCCTGCAATTTCTATGTAAATTTTTCAGCTGTCATCTCTATGGTGACATTTTGCCCGATCATGCCATTTTTTAAAGTTTTTTCAAAGGACTGCCCGACAGAGTAACGTAAAGTTTTTGTCATAGCATACTGTACCGTTTTTTTGCCCACGAAAAAACACTGCCAGAGAAAAATGGGACAGGCGCTAACTTGTATAATTGTTGATTCCATAAAAAAGTGACTATATATATATATCCCGTAAAAAAATAAGTTTTTTAAGAAGCGTACTTTTATTCCCCCCCCAATATATATATATATATATATATATATATATATATATATATATATATATATATATATATATATATATATATATATATAAGGAAAAGAAGTGTATACCTAAGGGCGTGGTTTTCCGTGTCGTGACACACTTGAATTAGGATCTAACAGACAATATTGCCAAGTAATGTATAGGGGAAGTTATTAGAACCAATGTAGCGTAAATCAGAAGATAGAAGAGTGGGTGAAAAAATAACTTGCTGTGAGCAAGAAACTCTTTTCTTTCTTCTTATTTACACTACATTGGTTCTAAAAAATTCCCCTATACATTCTTTGGTTTTACTGTAGGTTAGATCCTATTATATATATATATATATATATATATATATATATATATATATATATATATATATATATATATATATATATATATATATATATATATATATATATATTCGAAAACAACTTCCGAACAATCAGAGAACGGGAACAACGGGAATCTTATTTTATCTACAAATTTAACACGATAAAATCCGGAATAAATGAACACCCAGGCACTCTGTCAGCGTTACGACCGCTAAAAGACGCAAACGCTTCTCTCTAATCAGTCCGGTTTCATTACGACAATAATATTACCCGCTAACAAAGCTGTTGGCCTATGCATCTGATAAGTGGTCCCGGATGTCGTAGGTCCCCCCCCCCCTTTTTCTTTTCTTTTTTTTCTTCTCAAAGTTTTAACGCGCATTCTGTTCCTTCACTGACAAGGAGGTGACAGCTAGGTGGTTTCGTTGACTTTTTCATGCATGCGCGCATGTCTTCCCAGTGAGCCGCAACTGTGTGGTGACTGTCCGGGATGTCGTACAGTCTCCCCCCCCCCCTGTTCTTCTACTTCTTTTTTTTTCCTTCTTTAATATTAACGCACATTCTGTTCCTTCACTGACAAGGAGCCATTGCATATAATGAATATCGATGGCGGTGCCTCAATCACCGGCTTTTTCATTCCTCCCGACGCCACCAGCACGCACTCGACGCACTTAAGCCCTCCCCATTAACTTATCCTAAACTTCAAAGAGGAACAAGCCGCCAGCGGACTACACGGAAAGGTGAAATACAAGAACGGTGGCTCCCTGCCCACTTGGGGAAGAGTGGGTGCGGGGGAGGTATTGTTGACAATGATGACAATGCTCATCTGCCTCTGCCCTACTCTGTTGAGATGCGGCCCCTTTCTAATTACGCCGTGTCAGTCTTGCTTCTTCTCCTAGATTTTCTATATTTTATTTAATGTTTGTCCTCCCGTTTCGCTGTTTCTTCTTCTCGCTTTCCCCCTCTCTCTCTTTTTTGTGTTTTTTTTTCCTTTTCTTTTGACCCCTCCCCTCCTGTCTCAACAGGCTATAAGAAGACACGGAACATGTGTAAATAGTATTATGCCTTGAAAAAGACGGGGTTCCCGTCGAAACGTCGGCACAATAAACAGTTATGTGAAAGCGCATCTACTTTCATATTTATATCCTTGCGGCAACCGAAGTTATTCTTCGGTTGCCGCATATATATATATATATATATATATATATATATATATATATATATATATATATATATATATATATATATATATATATATATATATATAAATATACATATATATATTGACAATTGAGCACTTATCAAAAGTCGGCATGCACATGCACATGGTACACGGACATCGTCACTTGAGCTGTCATTTGAATTGCTGCAATGCCTGTAGTGAGCACTCAAGAACCCACCTTTTTTTTCCTTCACGTTGTTGCGATGTTTAGTGATAGTGCATGTGACAATGTCCGTACCATGCGCAAGTCGATTTTTCATGAGTGCTTTTTTGTCGGTAACAGCAGAGGTCAGCTGACTAGCAAAATATTCGAGGCTGAAATTATTGATAGGCTGGCACATAACTATAATTCTAAACCATCGATTCTCTTTCGTGTAAATAGCCTATGTACGTAAAGATATATGAATTTGCAAAGTGCTCGCGATTATGGAGATTGATAAGCGATGTTCCGGATTTAGCACTTCTACAAGCTAGCGCCTGTTCCTTCTTTCTCTGTCCGTGTTTTTTCTGCTCTAGAAAAGTAGAGTATGCCAAAGAAAAGGACATTTTTGATAAATGTAGAAATAAGGAACGAAAAATCTGCCTTATTTAGCTGTAACGTGAACCACAATTACGTAATTCCGCTGTTGAATATCTTTGTAATGAAGCTGCTTCTCTAAAACGTTCACTAAGAAGAAGGTTCTATTGAAAAGTGCGTAAAGTAATTGACTGGAATGAAGTAAAGTCACTCCACGGACATCGCCCACGAAAACTTCGTGTCAAAACATGACTTCCAGCAGTTACCTTTACGTTTCAGTTTTGTGACGGGGTTCTGGTGCATTCAGAATTTGACTGCTGCGAAGATAAAAAGCTAGGGGACTTAAAGCTCCATTTCAGGAACAACAAGTGGTATCCCCAAACTGCCCTGTATCAAGAGCAATGATAAGCATTGACGGCCTGAATCAAGCACATGTCCATTGGGAAACCGAGAAACAAAACAAAATAAAAACAACGAGCTTTTCCGATGAAAAAAAAAAAAAACAAGAAAGAGGAGTGAAAGAAAAAGCACCAACAAAAATGCAGCGTCATGTTATCACTTTTTTTATGTCTAGTGCCATGTGAAGCGACGAATGTAAACCTGTGTGTGCTGTCACGTTGCTAAGATGCAGTACCATCTAGTCCAGCAAGCACACCATAATCGTGGATAAGAGAGCCGGCAGAAAAAAAAAAGAACCAAGTCAATTAAGATATCTTCTCCTATAGGTATATTTTAATGGGGCCGATGCTGCGATAATCCTTACACTCTTAGTGCGTATGATTCGACCATACCGCATGCGACTCAAATTTACGTCATCGAGCCCCTTTCAATCACTGATGTGTGAGAGCCACGATGTGCAAATCAGCCCCATTCCTGTAACGGCTTCATAACCGCACGATAGATGCCGTACGTGTTCCACTACGCGGCACAGGAGAGTGACTCTCATGGCAGTGACGCAGGCAAAAAAAAAATGCACTAAACGAAAGGGCAGAGTTCACGTGATTGTTTTTTTTAGATGGTGACAGTGCCATGACGTGATACCGCTGCATCAATAGGGACCCGAAGGCATCATCACCTCCCCTTTTTGGCTTGGTAACGCTAAATCTGAACATATTTGTAGCATGGAAGTGTGTGCGTATTGCACTTCCCTGTGTTCTGTCACTTTCGTGGTAATTTGGTGTGGCAGTGGCTTGGCCACATATATTTTTTAGGGTTGTTTTATGCCACGACAAAAAAAAAGAGAGAAAATAAAGAGCCTGCGCTGAAACAATATTTAAGTTATTTTCATATATTGATGAGGTGTGCATATAGTACGCATGCCAAAAGGGGGGAGGGGCTATGCCTGACTAAAAAATATCGAGAAGAGGATTTCGATATCGATAATCCCGCAGATTCCCCGCTTAAGTTCCCGTCTTGATGTAAGTGTGAATGCACCAATTTCAAGACTGTAAATTCATCATGAAGGCAGGCATTGCTAGGGGAAGGTCAAAAAAACGATTTCATGTTTGGTCGCGAAATGATGTATTGCCCCTTAGTCACAAAAGCGCACCGACGTCCTTGTCTGACCTTCAATAGAGAGTTTCTTTGACGGCGTCTTCATCTTGAGTGCGACACTTCCGTCCCGCAGGCTGTGCTGCAGCGATGCCGTGATCTCGCGATCCGTCTTTGTTCCCGGAGTGTTCATGCTGACCACTGCACCCACGAGGTCCTGCTCGAGAGAGAAAAGACGATGAGCAAAAGGAGCATTGTAGCCAGAAGGATGAGAAGGAAAGAGGAGAGTATACGAGCGAGAAAAAAAACAAAAACAACCAGTTCTTATGTGTACAAAAGCAACCAATGAGTGGAGCTCTTTAGAAACGGAAAGCCAAACACTACGCGCTTGGGGAGCTATTCTCGCGGTGTCCAGTTCATGGGCCTGTCCAATTCGGCTTCCTCTCATTGACTGGAGAGCGCTGCCTGTTTCCGGTCTTTCTTGCGCATCGTCATTCTGATGCCACGCAGCTTTCACAACTCTCGGCACAAATGAGACAGACAAATGAGCCTTTCGCCATGACGAATGCTGCCCCCAGATATCCGCCTTTAGACGCACATCTTCGAGGCTGCGCATAGACTATAATCAAGTTAACCCTTGAATGCAGTATGTTCAAATAAAAAAAAACCGCGTTAAATGGTGCTCTAGCTGCCAAACAGCAGTAGTAGGCTTATACGAATATTTAAATGCTCCGAATATTTGAACAAATAGTTAAGTATTCGAATTCACTTCGATTTCATTTTGAAATATTGAAAATGTTCCCAATGAACACCTAAACATATATAAGTTCTCATGTAACCATCTGTAAAGATGGTTTTACTGTAGTGTAGTCGTGCAAGCTTGTAAAGATATCTGTCCAAGAAAAACCCGCTCTGTCGCGAAGCCCTACTTCAAGTTTAAAGGGGCTCTGCAACGCTTTTTCAACGCTTTTTCAGCATGGTCAGAAAACGCTGCCGTTCGGTGGTCGAAGCCACCGAGAACACGCGAGCCAAATATTGTAGCGCAGCACGTTGCCTGCAATCCTCAATGAATTCCCAAAGTTAGTTGGAAATCGCGCACTGATCTGGGCAAATAATGCCACAAGCCCAAAAATCAATCGACACAGCCGTTGTATCAGCCGTTGCCTGATTTGAGCATGGCGCGCTCGGTCGTTACCGGGGCCATTGTGGAATACCACCACTTTTACAGGTATACGTGCACAATACCCGCATGAAAAGCGGCGTACTCGAAAAGAAAAAACAAAAAAATAGGAGAGAGAGCAAGAAAGATATAGCTCAAAGGTCATGAGGTGCGTGTGATGTATTTTCTTTTCCCATGGCATCCCTCCATGCTCAGCCTCCAGCGCTTTCGTTGGGACCAGAAGAGATAATGCGATCGGAGCGTGCGACAATCTACGCAACTCCGCTTGTACTGAATGGATTATCTAAATTTCTATGGTGGTGAATTCATGAGGCAATAGGCTTCTTTAGTGAATCAATTCCATGGCTGCCTAATGTGTTGTAGGGCTTATTTAAATGAACATATTACCTTCAAATTGATTCTTCAATTTTTAGGTTTAAAAGCTTATGACGGCTTGTATGCTCCAATAAAAATTTTCGAATGTTACGTATTTTAAAGTTTTCACTCGCATCATATTGAAAGTCATATCCTGCAACTATATACTTAATGTTGTCCGGACTTCGTTCGAACAAAAAAAAAAAAGCCTTTTCATAGAGGCTTTATATTCAAATAAATATACTGTGCAGGTTAGTTAGTTCATAATAACTATGCCCATTCATTAACATGCCATACTATATACTGTTCAACTTCCATTCAAAATTATTTGACCAATATTACCATTCTCTTCAAATTTGCTTCGAACCTGAAATTCACTATTCGCACAAGCCTAACCAGCAGACATTGTAGAAGCTTTCGCATGTTATTGCACCGTAGATATATATTCAACTACTTGTGTTAGGACGCAGTTTACTTTCGTCTTAACTGATTCTTATCGACCATGTTTTTTTTTTTTGGTTGCATGTTGCTCAATATTATATTCACGGAGCTTTTTCCTGATGAGGGAGTGCGTATTAAGTCTCTAGTTTTCCCAGTTAGGTGCCTGATTCACTGACCTTGGTGTTCGTCCAACTGGCCTCGAATTCGTAAGCCGTTAGAGTCGGGTCAGCCTTGATGAGGTTCACGCTGAGCTCAGCGTTGCCGCTGAACGGGTACATGGGAGAGCGGTACGTCTGCCTCGACACCGGGAATTCAGCACGTCCACACAGCCGGAGACCCAACGTGCGCTCCAGGGTGGCTCCCGTGCACGCCTCTGTCTCCAGCTTGCTATGCGGTTCGTTTCGGTGCTCCAGCTCTGAGGCACCGTTCACCAAGAATATCTTGCTCCTGAAAGAATCATTGTGATGTATGTGGCGTCTTTCTCATAAAAAAAAAGGAGCTAGAGCTTTTCTGGCATAACTCTTCTACTTGTGCTCGGCGTGCATGCACTGATGCACGCGATTTTAAATGCAAGTAAAAAAGCAAACATTGGAGTGAAAAAATGGTGCAGATACCCTTGTCTACTTGATAATAATTTGTTATTTCAAATTCCAGCTAACACAAGAGAACCGGCATACAAATCGCACACCTAAAATCATATATTGCAGTTGGGCTTTGTTAAACATCAAGTATGCACGTACTGACTATTATGTGCTTCAGAGGTTTCATATCATGGGCCTAACTTTCCAATCAAGAACGATTTTAACGTGATAACGTTCACGAGCTCGTTTCGCAAAAAAAAAAAAGCTGACGTTGTCTTCATAGGCATGCGCCCAGTCTAGTCACTTAAAACGGGAGGTGGTGCAAGGCGAGCCGATACATTGGCATAACAATAAGAGTGATAAACCTTCGCACCCCACCTGAAAGGGAGCCCTGCGCAAGCCTACGTTTGGTGTCATTCGTTGTGAGAGAAAAATCAGCGTTGTCCGCACGCAAAGATTCGAGATAGATGCAAGGAAATAAAAAATAGTGTATTAAATGTATTAAACTGCTCATTTGAATGGTGTTAATCTTATTTTGTGAGCGTGACGTCACTTCCGCGTAGTGCAAGAGCCAGTTCTGTCTGAGGCCGGCTCCTGCGACGCGCAGTGCTCGAGACGATCCTACACAGAACTGGCTCTTGCATCACACGAAAGTGATGTCACCTTCATGAAATATTCCTAGCATCACTGAAATGAACAGATTATTACTTTATAATGTGCTAAACCTACAAATATATTAAACAAACATTGTTCGGAAAGTTCATTACCGTACATTTATAATTATGGATATATCGCAAGCATTTCAAACCCAGGGAGCGCTGCGAAAGGTGACAGCAGTGAAAAAGATGGCAGCTACGACATAGTTGACATGAGGCAAAAAAGATCTCACTATAATACAAAGAATATTGCTATTGGAAGTACTTAATTTTCTGGATTGCAATGTCAAAACATAATGTTGTCGAAGGTGAGAGTGTCCTTGCTGTCGAGTACCTCATTTTGCTTGTCGCAATGGGCAATGTCAACGATGAAATAAAGTGTTTTCGCACAGTTTGTGTCTGTGTTCGGACGCACAAGAATCCCAGTGCCGCTGCGAAGTCTTGCCACGAAGTCTGTGGTTTTTTAAGTCAAATGACCCTGCATTGCAGGCTTTTTCGTAAAGTGTGAATACGTATCGGCCGACATCATCCTTTCACAAATAAATAGTGTTGTGCTGTCCTAGCCCGTGTTATTCAGCAAGGAAGAAAAACTTTTTGGCACTTTTTGGTAGTTAGGTGCGCTAACGATGTCGGCACTTACCATTGAGCACCAATTTATAAGTACTGATAGCCGAGAGCACCATGGTGGCACGTCAATACTTTGAAGACACCTCGTCTACCGATTACATCGTGAGGCGGTGATGGTACGCTGAGCGACATACCAATAATTCATGTTGCATATTTGGTGTGGCTACAAGTGTCAAAAAAGCAGGGACTGGTAGCTGCTATAAAAGTGATGGCAGAAAATTTGTCTACAAGTACTTGTTATAGTTATCACTTGCAGTCGGGCACTGCACTCGGGCTCTGCACTCGGAACACACGCAATTAGCGAAAGTATGAAAAGTTGGGCTAGTTGCTACGGCAGCCTTTTATTGCAACAGATAATATATGGACACTTTCGGCTGGATTTTGCCGCCAGCGTCGCCGTCACTCAAATTGGACAGCAACAAATTGGAAAGTCCCACGCAGAATGACAAGCAGATCGAAACGCGCCCCACGTTTCTAACGCACAAATGACGCATAAAACGTATTCACAGGTAAAGATGAACGCGAATAAGCGTCTCAGTTGTTACTTCGCTGTGTCTGAAAAGCGCGCCCTTTTCACAAACGGAGGCTGTGCAACGATTGCAATGAGCTTTGTGCGCCTCGTAACTACAACAGAATCATTTCAATGCGAGCCCAACATCCACCAAGACGTATGATCCTTCCCACCGGGAGATAAGGGCGCGTGAAAGGTCGTTCACTACCCTCCTCTCCGCGAGCCAAATTACACGTGAGAGATCAGAGCTGCGGCGCGGTCATTGCGCCAACTTGTTGATAATGCTGAAAACACGATAGCTGGCTCCCCCGAGAAACCCGCCAACAGCGGTATATGGTAGATATAAATAGCTTGCCGTTTGAACGTTGAAGGAGGCCCCCCTCGGTAGCTCGAAGTACTCAGTGGATAACGCCTCGCATTCACGACGCGGAGGTTTCACGTTCAATTCAGTGCGCCGGGTTTTTTTTTTCTGGATTTCATTTCAGCCTTGCGTTTTCATATATATATATCTATATATATATATATATATATATATATATATATATATATATATATATATATATATATATATATATATATATATGTATACATATACGGAGCATGACACCGACGCCGGCGGCGTAATACAGCCGAGAGTGTCCATATAATTGCTGTGGCAATAAAAGAATCCGGCGCGCGGAATTGAACGTTCGACCTTTCGTTCGTGAGCGTGAGACTTTAGCCACTGAGCCATGAAGGAGCACAACTTTCAACGCGGAAACGTCAAGCTACTCATATCTGGCATGGAGGAAATAGCGTGTTTGCAGCATTACCAGTGAGATGGCGTGATGAGTGCGCTCAGTGCAAAGGCCGGCGCCCAGTTCATTGCGATGCGCCGATGCGCACTCGTCTCCCACGCGTGCTTTGCTCCGCGGAGGGAACGGGCCTTATCCGCGCACTTATCCTGTGGTATGGGAGAATCGTGCGCCTTTAGCTTTGACCATAACAATTGCGTTTAGTTGCCGGGCGCAAAACTTTGCTCGCTGAACAGGCCCCGTTTATGATAAAGATCGCTTTTTAAACGCAGCGAAGTAACAATCACCTGGAACGCTTCTTAGTTTTCACTCGTATCTGTACCTGTGAAAGAGTTTCGCGTGTCATTTTTTGTTGAAACAGTGTGTTAATTGTCAAGCTGTAAAAGTTGTTAGTTGGCTCTCGTCCTGCGTGTGCTGTTTTTTTTGTGTCATTAGTGCGTGAGCAGCGCACTGCACGTTTCAATCTGCGTTACACTCTAACTTGTAGCTATCGCATTCGCTGCTTTGCCCTTGTGGCGAAACCGTGACTTTTTTAGGGTACAGCGCGAGATCGACGAAGACGGAAAACAGAAGAGACACAGACGAGTGCTCGTCTATGTCTCTTCCATCTTCGTCGATTTCGCACGGTACAGTCACAATCTCTTAGAGAGTGAACACGGGAGCGTGTGGCTTTCTGAGCTCCGAGCGCTGTTGAGCGGCAGCCCCCAGAAGAATCGCTCATGCGCAATGCAACCGGGCTGCGAAAATGATATCATCGCGTGCATTGCGTCCGGCGAGCTATAGCGCCTGTCGTCTGTGCTGCACACGCACGGCAGTAGGAAAATCGGGTGCTTGAACGTGACAAGAATCCTAAACTTCTAGTTATCCTCCACCTAACTCTGAAATAAACGTTACTTCAAGATCATCAATGATTTGTCGTTGGGCGCTTTCCCCGACGCACATTTTGTGCTCCAGCATGGCCTGGCGCAGGGCGCACTGCACAACTTATAATGAACGAGCACACGGAAAATCGCCAGGTCACAGTGGTCTTTTGGCAAGCTTGAGCATTTGTGAAAACATGTGGCAATATATATATACAATAGGCTATGATGCGGTTCTCTGTTAACACAGCGGCTGCAGAGAAATCGAAGGTTCTTCAAGAGTGGCAGAATCTTCGAGCGCATCGTCACTTTGTGCCAGCACTGTACTCCTCACAACCTTTCAGAATGGCAGCAGTGCTCTTATTTTTCAAAGGGTAACATTAAAAAATACCAATGTAACTTCGAGATAAGCTATTCCAGACAACTGATACAACTTCCTTAAACTAATTCATCTTTCGTGGAATGTGCAACAATCAACCGTTTGGGTGATTGCGTTCCTTTGCCTTTTCGTTGTACGACTACAAGAACGCAGGAAAAAGACGAAAACCAAGTGATATGGCAGGTTTAAACAAATGCGACGATTGAACTCAAATCATCTAAGCTTTAGCAGCCATAATATTACGGTCATCCAGGATGCCGAAAATTAGTTAGCAGACGACACACTAGCACAGCGGTGACCTGATGCGCACGAAGGGAAGCTGCCTCCCCACGCATGCGCGCAGATACCTTGACGTGTCACCAAATGGTGCTAGTAGTGCCACAAGCCACGCGCTCCTGTGTTCACTCTCAAAAAGATTGTGACTGTACATCAAAAAAGACGCAAATAGTGACAGTCGGAGCAGAATTCAAGCGCTACACTGACGACAGTCTAAAGCACAGATTTGTCCAGCAATACTCAAGACATGTTAAAGTTCGACTTAACCTAAAGCTACGCTTTACACTGTACACGCTTCTTTTCATCACGATACTGACGAGCCATTCATGAAATCCAGGTGCTCGTGTGACTGAGTTTTGAAACCATGTCTGTTGCAGAGCGCCTTCCTGTGATCAAAACTTCGATGATGCGTGAAAATCAGCATTCCTCACGCACGCTGCTGGAGAAACCAATGTAGCTAGGTACATTTGAACTTTGTGTGTCCTTTTGCGTCTCGCCGAGGGAGTGCTATAATTTCCAAAACTACGTATTGCCCATCTGTAGCCAATTCTGCGAGAGTAATCATTACGCAAACATCCAACATCAAAGGGCCTGTAGGGAGGGCCATCAGTAGCGCAAATCCGGCTGACGGGAAGCGCGAAGGGGAGGCACACTCACGTGTGCAGATTCGATGAAGGCATGTCATATTCAAACGATTTAAACAATGTGCCTAACCGGAAAAGTGCATGAAATCACTTTCGCGCGGTGCGGGAGCCGTTTTGGTGTGGGGGTGGCTCGTACACCGCACGACACACCAATATCTGCCAATAAAATATATTCCGTCAGAATGAAAGCCAAGGCCTCCGCGTGGAAAACAAACGGTCTACCACAAAATCTTGCTAGCTTTTGTTTTCGTTTGCCTAACTTAATATTAATGTCTCTAATGTATATACATAGCGAACGAAATACTCAAGGCCACCTCTACAGGCGTACAGTGAGCGTTACACTGAAAAAAAAATGGCAATAACAATCCAATATACTTTTTGCTCATTATTTTCCCACGTTTTATGTTTCGAAGTAGAGGGCTCTTGTGCGTGGCTTTCGGTGTCACAAATTGACTCACTTGACGTCAATAAGTTCCATTTTTTTCTCCGGCATGTTGAGCTTGGCCTTGAGGGCCTGGCCCTGTTGCATCTGCAAGGAGCCATCCACAGACCAGGAAGATGACATGGTGGCTACCATGCGAACTCCTGAGGTGGACTTGTGCGCATCCACGCTCATCTGCATCGCCAGCTGAACGGCACCGCTGCGTGTTTAGAGCAGAACAATCTTACTGCACCCTGAAGTAAATTGATGAAAGCGCTGTTCTTTTTTTTTCTTAGACAGAGCCCAAGCAAGCCAGCCTGCGGCAACAGCAAGGAAGATATAGTGGATATTATTTTAATTTTTCAAGTGTATCGTAGTAAATATAATGAAAAAACAAGATGAATCATAGTGGGCAAATGCAAAAGGTACAATGGTCTCACGAACAAGAATTTTAAAAAGATGATACACCGTATTTATTAAATGACTTACGGAAGACCTGCGGGTGAAGTTAAGTTCGCGAATGGCAGTAAATGTTGGCAGCACATTTCGTGCCACGTAGCGCTAATTTAGTGCCGAGTGTTGTACTCTTCTTGCATCAGTGAAACTATTCTTGTGCTAGGTGATATTGGTTAGTTCTAAAGAGCCTATTGCGCGCATCTAGTGCGGCCTCAAAAAACAATATACCACTTCAAATTCAAGTTTTCATTACCTCATAAATGGAAATATTTTATATCGTACTGACTAAATACAATATACTGAGATATATTACATAATATAAATTATTTTTCTCTCTGTCATCTTCTTTTGGTAATTTGTGCTGGCTATTTTCTGCATGAAAGAAACATCCGCGCGGGAAACAGATACGGGAAAGCAAGATAATGTCTACTAACAGACAACTATGCCAAGAGAAGGATAGGGGATGTTATTAGAAGTCATTGTAAATATTAAGCAAAGAAAAGTGGATGAAAGGATAACTTGCCAACTTCGAATAAGTGTCCAATGCTCTCGGGTAACGTCATCGGACGCGTTATTCGAAGGTCGCAGGGTCAGATTTTCTCAGTGGCAAGTTATCTTCTCACCCAGTTTTCGTTCTTCACATGTACCTTACAATTACTGCTAATCAAATTCGTCATACTTCTGGCATCATTTTCTGTTGGGCCTAAGTTATAATGTGCCCAATAATGACACATGAAGTCAGGAAAGCCTTGGAGCGAATGCAAAGAGACAAAGCCGCTGGTAAGGATTAGGCAACATATAATCTGCTGAAACGCGGAGGGTAAATTATGTAAGAAAAACTGGCCACCCTGTTTACGAAGTGTCTTCTGTCGGGTAGAATACCTGAATTTTGGACGAATGCACACATCAACTTAATTTATAAGGAAGGGGAGCAGGACTTGAAGAATTGCAGGTCGATCAGCTTGCTCTTTGTCGTACACAAGCTATTTACAAATATAATTGCTAACAAAATTAAAACAACGCTAAATATCAGTCAACCAAAAGATCAAGCACGATTTTGTACAGGCTACTCAACAATCGACCACGTTCGGATTATCGATCATCATTATCAGCCTGACTACACCCACTGCAGGACAAAGGCCTCTCCCATGTTCCGCATATAAACTCGGTCGTGTGCTTGCTTCTACCACTTTATACCCGCACACTTTCTGATCTCATCTGCCCACCTATTTTAATAGTGTAAGATAAGGGGATACGATCTCCCCAGCGCTATTTACCACTTGCTTGCGGAAGGTTTTAAAGGGCCACTCACCAGGGCCGATACCAAATTTTCGTAAGACCAGGGAAATTCTTGGGCGTTCGATGAGGAACATTTTCCAACAAAGGTTTTTTGAATCGGTTGATTACAAGCTGAGAAAACTGCGTTTTTAAAGCGGCATGAAACGAGGATGAGAGGAGGCGAGCTGGAAATCCTTGCCGCTGCTCCGCATAGCCTTCGCAAGCCAAATCTCTTTCCTACCCTCTCCGGCATACGGCCAAGAGGTCATGTGAGTGAGTGAGTGAGTGAGAACTTTATTATGGTCCAGTGCAGACACTGAGGTTGCCACGCTTCACCCGGCTACTCCCACGTGGGGACTGGCAGGTCTAGCATGACGGCTCTGTCGCGGGCATACTTGGTGGCCAGGATTCGGTCCCGAAGTTCTGGGCGTTGCAGAAGCGCATCCCACTGGGGCTTACTATAAGCCGGTTCAAGCGACCCGCACTCCCAGAGCATGTGTGCTAATTTAGTGGTCTGCCCGCAAGCGGCGCAGGCGGCATCGGGAATTTGTGAGGATAAATTAGATTTATATATGCTAACGACGGGTACGAACGGGTTTGAAGTAAGCGCAATGACACGACCTCTGCTCTATTGAGGCTTGAATGTGGCTTTGGGAACGACCGCCTCGCCATGTAGTAATACTTGCTAATCTCGTTGTGCGTAGTAGGTGTGTTTTTATGTCTCACATCGTCGGCACTGGAGCCGTCACCCAGGTCGAGAGCAGCGCGGTCAGTGAGCGCGCGCGCTGCTGCCTGGGCCGACTCGTTCGGGCTCAGTGCAACTGCCGTTTACGGAGCCGACATGCGCGGGGAACCAATATATGGTGTAAGCAACAACCGTATCGCTTGTGAAGCTGTTCAAGATCCTGGCTGCCTGTGTTTATATGCGGCCCTTTTGAAAGGCTCTGACTGCGAATTTGGAGTTGTTGTACACCTCTTCGCACCAACCATTTATCAGAGCGAGTGCGACGACCACTTGTTCGGCCATCTGGGGGTTCGTTGTACGTACCGTGGCGCAGTTCGTAGTCGAGCTCGTCTGGTCCACGACCACCGCTGCGAAATTCTTGCCGTCTCGATATGCTGCAGCGTCCAGAAAACTTGTATTTACGCCACCTTTTCCCAGTTGCTTTACTAGAGCCGTCGTCCTTGCCCGACGACGTCCCTCATTGTGTACAGGGTGAGTGTTTCGGGGTATCGGAGCAACAATGACGTTTTCCTGTATATGTTTTGATATACGCACGCTATTTGTTTCTATCTCCATAGGGTTAAAACCTAGCTCGCCAAGTATGCGCCGACCAGCCGTTGTAGTGGACAGGCGAGCCAGCTGCGAGCGTTGCTGCGATTCCGCTATCTCGACAGCAGAGTTGTGCACACCGAGCGCGAGCAAGTTCTCGGTGTGTGTGCGTACGGGAAGCCCCAGTGCTTCTTGACGATCTTTCTGATAATCAAATTGAGCTTGTCCCACTCCGTTCTAAGCCAGTTGTGCATTGCAACGGTGTAGGTAAAGCGGCAGAGCACAAAAGCATTGATGAGCCTAAACAAATTGTCTTCCTTAAGGCCTCTATGTCTCCCAGAGATTCTTTTGACGAGTCGAAAGCTTTGTCAGTCTTGGCGACAATCTTCCGAAGAGCGGGGCCGTTGTCACAGTTCGCTTCAATAAACATGCCGAGAATCCAGATGGTGTCTACTCTCGCAATTTCCTCCCCGTCACTCGTGTAAATGTGTATATCGCTTTCTCCGACGGGTTTCCGTCCCTTAGGTCGGCCACCTCGTTCTTTTCTATAAAGCAGGAGCTCCGACTTGGCGGGTGAGCATCTGAGTCCCATTTGGCGCAAGTACGAATCCGCCTCGGCGACTGCTTCTTGAAGGGCATCTTGCAACCGGCCTTTGCTGCCGCCAACGCACCAGATTGTGATGTCGTCGGCGTAGATGATATGCTTGATGCCGTCCACGCTAGCCAGTCTTTTCGACAGTCCTATGATGCAGAGATTGAACATCACCGGAGAAATCACAGACCCCTGGGGCGTGCCTCGACGTCCGAGTGGTACGTCTTCAGAGAAGGAGTTCCCGACGCGCAGCCTCACTTTTCTTCCAGACAAAGACTTGATGTAGTTGTACAGCCTGGGCCCAAGCTCGAGTTTCACCACAGTCTCGTGCTTGATGTTGTCAAAGGCCTTCGCTAGGTCTTGGACAAGAACTGCCTTTGTATCGTTTCATCAAGGACTTGGTGCTTAATGAGCAGCATTGCATCCTGCGTTGAAAGGCTGGTACGAAACCCGATCATACTGTGCGTATAAATTTCATTTCCCTCCAGGTAGTCGTTAAGTCTGTTGAGAATCGCGCGCTCTGCCACTTTACCCACGCACGACGTGAGAGAGATGGGGCGAAGATTTTCAACGCTGGGAAATTTTTTTGGCTTGGAATTCAGTACGGTGTCAGCTAGCTTCCATTCTTCAGGAACCCTTCCCGTTATCCGTGCTTCGTTGATGAAAGCAGTTAGACGTTCTATGGATGCGTCGTCGAGGTTTGTGAGGGCTCTGTTCGTGATACCGTCTGGCCCTGGTGCCAACTTGCGGTTGAGCATTTGTATCACTCTCCTGATTTCAGCCTCTGAAAAGTCTTCGTATAGTTCGGGTAGAGGAGGGCCGCCATACTCTGGGAACACGCCGTCTTCGTCCTCTCGTTCGACCGGCAGGTACTTGGGAATTAATCGGGTAACGAGTTCGTCAAACCCCTGTTCTTTGGTGGCCTCGTTAAGGGAACAGGCTAAAGTGTGTCTCTGGTTGGCTCTAGAGCTGTGCTCGTCCAAGAGGTGCTTCAGAAAGTGCCAGGACTTGCCATTTCTGATTTAACCGTGGACGGACTCACGAAGTTCATCCCACTGCTGTTTGCACAATGTGTCGCAATGTTGTTCAATTTCTTTGTTCAACTTTATAATTTTTGCCACAGCTGACGGTTGTGCGCCTGCTCCTTCCATCGAGAAAATAAAGCTGCCTTGGCTTCGAGAAGGTGGGCAAGACTACTGTCCATCTTCTCCACATGTAAATCTGTCTTTATCTTCTTGGTGGCAGCGGTGACATCTCTGCGGATGCTCTCGCACCATTCCTCGAAATTGTCAGGAGCACTGGCCCTTGTACCGCGAATGCTGCGAAAAAGATCCCAGTCAACCACCATGACTTCTCGGACTCTGCTACGGTCCACTATAATAGAAGTTTGCAGAACGTAGTGTTCGCTGCCAGATTCTATGGCGGTGTTGGCCCATGTAGTCTTTTTGACATTCTTGATGAAAGCGAGGTCTGACGTCGTGTCTCTGATCACAAAGTTGCCTATTCGCGTAGGAAAAGCCTTTTCAGTGATTAAGGTAGGGTCTAGTTCGGTGGGGCATTGAAGTCACCGACTATGAGTAGGGGCCGAGAACCAGCTAATTCAACTGCCCTTTCGAGCAACGTCTTGAACTGCTGCCGCCTGTGCCTGGGGTTACTGTAGACATTCAAAACAAAAACACTGTTTTTCCGCTAATTGCGCCGTGGTGTGTCAAGTAGGGTCTCTACCATTACATATGCGATATTACATCTGGCCAACTTCAAGTTGTGGCCGACGTGTGTCAACTATTTACTTATTAGTGTGCAGACACCTCGTCCTCCTGACTAGCGAGAGACTCCCCGCTAACCAGAAAGGGACGCTGCAGAGGCTAGAGTCTCTTGAAGTGCTTTAATTAGATGTTTCTCCGTTATCGTCCTAAAATACTCGTGCGCATAAAGTGCCTGAACAAGCCCAACTCTCGAGCACGCGAGCGACGTTGTTTTATTGACCAGGTTATTTTGTTGTCTACTGCCTGCTTCGGCGGGAGCGTTTGGAAACGCTGGCTTAGACGCTGTTCAATAGGCGAGCACAATGAGTGCGCGAACACGTAGGGGCGTTCCACGGCTGTCGTCTGCTCGATGCGCTGACCGCGAAATCGCAGGGACACGAACGCATGCGAAACGCCAGCACATTGACCCTGAATCTCGTTGCGATTCACGAGGGAAAAAGAACGCTCACATTTCCTTATTGCATCTCATTATTTATCTAAAGATTTAGTATTCTCTTCAAGCAACAAATACATAAACTGCACATGTTGTTTTAAATAATTTTTGCCACCTCACGTGCAACTATTGGCAACGTCAGAGCACAGTCGTATACGTAGAGTACCAACGTCACTGCATTGACGTGTACCTAGGGCTATTCATACGCGCACGTCATGCCCTCATTCTCTTGGCGCGCACCCACAAAAGGAAGGAGGAGCCGAGTTCATCTTGAAATTTGAGCTGTTTTCGAGGCGCGTAGCGTTGCAAAATTTGGCAGACGTGATTATGAATGTCTCACCTACGCACTGCGCTTGTCAGCTCACAATAGTCAAACCTCGTAAGTGACCCTTTAAGAAGACTAGAATGGGAAGAGTTAGGGACACTTGTCACTGAAGAGTGCCTTACAAACCTGCGCTTCACCGATGACATCTCATTGCTGAGTAACTAAGGGGACAATTGGGAATTCATGAGTACTGAATTGGATAAGAATAGCAGAAAGGTAGGTCTACAATTTATTCTGCAGAAGACAAGAGAAATGCACAGTCACCTCGAAAGAGAACAGCGCTTCGAGATAGGTAGTAGTACACTTGAAGCTGTAAAGGAGTACGTCTACTTAGGACAGGTGGTAACCGTGAAGCCGAACCATGAGATTAAAGTACCTAGAAGAATACGAATAGTGTGCAGCACATTCAGCAAGCATTCTCATATCGTGAATTGTAGATTGCCACTATCCCTCAAGAGGAAGGTATATAACAGCTGCATCTTACCAGAACTTACGTAGGGTGCATAAGTCTGGAAGATTGGAAATTAGCGCGCCGTGGGCAGTTTCCACATTGGGACGGGAAGTCTAAGCCTGATCACTGCATCGTAGTGTTACTTGTTCATCTCTCAATACTGTTAAGAACTGGTTTATTCACTGGCTATAATTTTTACGCGCAAATTAGGTCTCAAGACGCCTGAACTTACTGCTAACATGAACTCCAACAGTTTCGAAGGAATACCGGACACTTTGCCACAGACGCCGCTTGATAGGGCATAACCAGAGATGCTTTCATTTCGTGCGTTGATTCACTTGACAAATATTTTCAGTGCACCCACTGTTTCATTGAGGTGCCAAGTTCTGCGTCGTGCAAGCTGTCCTTACCTGGGCTGTATGAGACCGGTGATGTCGATGGCTCCCTTGCGGAATAGCGAGTTTCCGCCAACCTTCAGTGCAGCAGTGGCTGAGCCATTGACCGAGACACGAAGTGGAAGACCACTGCTGGCAGGAACCGTGAGAGTGGAGTCGGCGAACAGGATACTCTTGCTCAGATCGACGCCTTTCGGCTCAGACAGGCGTGAGAGCCATTGCATGATGTCGGAGTAGGGGCTCGCTGAGGCGTCTTCGGCAAGCTGCAGTGAGGCGATCTCGTTGCCGAAAAACTTGACATACGCGGAAGCCTTTGGCTGGCCGCTGTACTTGGACTTGATGGCAAACTGCAGAGAAGAGATAGGGGAACGGTGGCGGCCTTTGAAAATGATCACAAATTTCGAAGCGTTTATACTTGGGAATTCCTGGATGACATCACCCGTAGTTGGCACTTTTTCTGCCGAACAACCTAACTCACGTGTTTCCTGCTAATAAAGCACGTAGAATTAATGAAAGAAAAAAACAAAAGGACAGGCAGGTTGACTAGAAAGCCAGTGAAAATGTCAAGTATATATCAAGGCGTGACTCAATAGACGCCTACTCCTTTTGCATTGTTAGAAATATCAATTTGCACAAAAACTTAAAGCACAAGTTTTTATTAAAAGATTATGTAATGCACCTGTACCTAATATTTGTATTAATATACTAGAACTATAGGTGATGGCTACAGTGTTTCGTAAGACTTGATGAGTGGTTACCAATTGCAATGATGTAGTTTTCGGTCTGAAAGGCGCAGTCGAGGTTGGCTTGCCGTGAATGAGGACTTCTAGCTAATATTTTGAAATACTGTAGATGTCATGGAAGACCAAAAGGCTTCAGGAGGACTCAGTGGAATAAAGACAATTCAGCAAGCAACGTGTCAACTGGCAATGACCCTGCAGGGTGTAAATGAAAATGTATACGTAATAGTACGTTGGGGCTGTGTCTAGGACGTGGCATGGCGCAACTAATATAAGTTTTAGGAGAAAAAACACACAAAAAAGACAAAAGAAGAGGTATGACCATTCGAGTCTACACCACCTTTTTTTTGTTGTCTGATTTTTGTACGTGCTTTTTCTTCAAATGATGTACAAACTGCAAAATTCAACTTTAGAGTGACCTCTGCCATAACTGACGGTTGATAATGTTAGATGGGCTCGGTTGCATAATGGCGAGCCCCATGCGCATGATTATCAATGAACATTCTTGACACTGCACTGGCACGCTGCAAAATGAGAATGGCCAAATACCGGTATATTGGTGGTCCATCCTCATGTGGACTTTCCTAATTTCCGTAATGTGTTTACCCATGTACCGAAATAAACCGGAAATCGACTTGCCTCACCCTGAAATTTTAGGCAGCCCCAAAAATGATTAAAAAACTGCTCGGCGTCACACCTGCAGCACGGATATTTGTCCATTATGGGTGTATCTTGGAGGAACCATACTATCTGACAGTTTTAATAAAGACGATAATCTTTCTTAGGGACCTTCGACGCAAAAATTTCGGTCTGTCTGTCTATCTGTCTGTCTGTACATTTGTCTGTTTGTCTACCCTTAACAGTACCCTAAACGGCACCAAATTCGCTAAACGATACTCCAAACGACCGACGCCATCCGCAGCGCCCACAAATATTGCTCATAATTCAGCGCTCATACTTGTGCGATTGTCAGTTAAAAAGAAATGATTGAGCATATATGAGGCAACATAACAACACGTCAATATTCTGCATGTGTGTCTCTTACTAGAAAAGGCATACATATAAGGACCGTAGCGTTTATCACGTTGCGCTAACAAGGCAACGCTTGCACGAAAAGGCAAGTGTTTCCAACGCTTCGCTAAGACGACATGGCGGTGGCACCTACCCGTCACTTTGCGTTCTACACCTTATCACCTCAGAAACGGGCACGCAGGGCGCACGTTCTTCGTTTTCTAAGACAACTGCCAGATAGCGCTCATGTGTCACGTTTGACGTGACTAGATGCGCTCGTTCGCCTCCACTGCACGCTCGAGGCACTCTAACTCAGCGCCTTCAGTATACCATTTACTAATTGTTTTGCGCAGAACATCAAAGAAACGTTTTATTCACTCTATCAAGGCGCAATACTATCGTCTGTCGACGACATTTGCATTGTAACATGAAGATACGAGGCCAGTTTTTTTTTTATTGCAAACATATGGGCACTCTCAGCGTTTTTTCGCTTTTGGCGTCACCACTGCCGTGATGATATCTGTATACGAGCACAGGGAAAAATAATGCAGAAATTCTACAACCCTGGGAAGCAAGCCGGTGACTCCTTGCTCCACAGCTGACCTCTTGGCCTTCGTGCTTTATATTGCTGACCGTATTTAGAGATACCATTTGCAGTGGATCATGCGCCCATCTCTCCTGCTTAAAGCAGGAAGGTGTATAGACGTCGCTTGCTATCTATACAAAGAACTTGTATAAGGGAGACCCATGCCGTGGAGGACGCTGCTGGTGAATTTGGGGAGAAAACTAGTTAGCCACCTGTTGACCTCTCACTCATTCACAAACCTTTATTAGTGTGCTGCAGGCCAGTGTTTTCAGACTGAGGCGGGCCATGTCCACCACGTCAATACCGGGAAGTCGAGCCTTACGGCGTAATCGTGGACGTTATGGACTGCCCGTGGCTCGTCTTCATAAGACGCGCTTTGCACAATTTTCTGCCAGTAAAGCCAATGTTTTTCGGGGTCAGCGAAACTCGTTGGACAACCCACCAGCATGTGTTTGATTCTAATGATTCCATCGCTTTGTATTTCAACTGTATCCGCACGCCTGGTAGGGGCATTAAAGTCACCTCCTAATATGAGCGGGGAGCTCTTGGTTATGGCGAGTGGTTGTGTGAAAGTTGCCCAGAAGCTTTGTGTCTTGGCACTGAAAATGCTGTAAATGTTTAGCAGAAGATGCTGTGCCCCTTGCCGCGGTGGTTTTAAGTACGACTTCTACTACGGTATCCTAGATTTTAGTCAATTAGAGATGAATATCTTGTTCGATAAAAGGTAGGTTCTAGTAAATGGGGGTGAGCAATCCTCTTCCGCAATGTTTTCTTTTACATATCGATTTGTAGCTGGTTAGCTTGACCTCCTCCGATAGAGTTTCCTTCAGCACAGTTACTTTTGGTTTGCTCCCCATTGATCTAATTATTTGGCGCAGCGATGCCTTTTTGTTTAAAAATAAGTGACCGTTCCACTGCCACACATGAAATCTGTCGGTGCTAGCCATGATTATTGAACGACACTGAGCAACACCAATTCTGACTTATTCACTGTATATCTACACTGTGGCCATGAATATAACAATTTCGACCACATGCTGCGGCTGTGCCCTACTAACGCGTGTACAGACTTTTCTGACCAGTCCTCCCGGGACTCCACCCTTCGATCCACAGAGCTCATCGCTCAGCTCAAGGCTGTCTAGAGGACCCGGGCCGTCGCTAAAAGACTGTCTACCGGTCCCGACCTTGGTGGAGCCACCACATCGGTTGGCGGGGATCTCAGCACCGCTTTCTTTTTTCTCAGGACCTCAAAAAGTTCCTACTCACTCACTGAATGAGTGTAGTTTGCTGTTACCTGCAATCGTTTTTTGGAGCCCTTTCTGACGGTCCACGTAATGACTTTAGGCTTTCCGAGTCTGACAGCAACAATTCGTCGTCTTCGTAATTTTTCAATGTTGAGTCTATTGAATCGCTGTTTAGCTGTAAACCTCCATTTTTATAGTTTGTTGACCTTATGTTAGTCGTTTCTGTCACCTTTTTGATTTCTTCAATTACCTCTTTCAGTTCCCTGAGTACTGAAAAAAACGAGTCAATTTCGGAGCTAACTGCTCTGGTTTTGGGAGCGGCGGAGTTGTCCCCCTCGCGTGGTTCAGCATTTTGACTTACTGGCCTGGCTGCTGCTACGCTGGCAGGACTTAGCAGTGCCTTCTGTTTTAGTTCGATTAGCTCTTCGGTTGGTTCTTCATTAGCATTTCGCAAAAAGTTTAACTCCCTAATCGATTGATTTCTTCTGGACTCATTGCTATCAGTCACCGCTGTCGTGGTGGTGCCATCGGCGATTATCACGGTACCATTTATTTTATCGCCCCAGGTGGTCTTTGTTGCCAGCTTGGCACCAGAACGTCTGAGCTCTCCGGCACTTCAGTTGACTTGCAACGACTGTTATTACTGAGTAGCGAACGGCGTCTGGATCTCGAGCAGTGGGGCTCTTCAGTAGGCTTGGCGTCTCCATGGGCGCCTTCGTGGCTGATCGCGACCGGTCGCGTTTTCTTCGGCAAGCTCATACCACATAGGGTACTTGAAACCGCTTCTTGCACGCTTGGTCTCCGGTGGGGTGGCTTCCTTCACAGAACTCGCACGTGGGTGTGCAAATGTGGTGCACTGGCGGGTTGAGGGCTCCACAACCTCGAGACTGAACAGCGTCTGGTGTTGGCCACACGTCCGAGCGGTGTCCTACTTTACTACATGTGAACACACATCAAATTGTTTCCTGTGAGGTAGCATATCACCAGGGTCGACCAATAGCGCACCAACTTTGGCACGCGCAGTCTGTCGAAGAGTACGGTGACTGAGCCCTACGTCGTGATGCACTTTGCAGCCGAAGCGAGTGGGTTGCGCTCATGCTCCGTATTTTTTATAATAATGGACTGGCAGTGTCTGATGTCGACTCATCTAGTCACACCTTTGCAAGTGGTGTGTCGGGCCATTTTGTACGCAATCACTCCATATTCTGTTTCCACGATTTTGAAGGAGTTGATTCTCGCGTACCGTGTCGCATGATCTGGTTCAGGCGTACTAACCACGACGATATTTTGCGTGAAGTTGGGGCACACCACGTCTTCATTTGCTTGCTCTGCCATCAGGCCGGAAGCCTCGATCCCTGCAGGCTGAATAGCCATGGTGCTTACATTGCTCAAATACAGTCCTCTTCGTGGCTGAACTATACTTTCGTGATGCTCCTCGGGTAAGTGGGACGTCCTCGAGGCTTTGACAATACGATTATTGAAGGTGCCGGTGCCGTTTGTGGCTTTTCTGCTCCCGCTGGTGGCGGCGTCTCCACTGGACGCTTGCGAGTTGTATGGTGCTTCATTGACCACTCAGCTGCTCTTCTTTTCAGCACGGAATCGTCGGCCAGTAACAACTTGCCAGCTGAAATACTCCTCGTCGTTCCCGGATACGTCGAAAGCCTCATGGTTAATACGGGAGTCCGTCATGTCCACGGGGCATGTAGGCCGGCTAGACCCAGCGGGCCCTACTCCTCGGTATGGTTTGCTCCGCACGTAGTGGGGTGAACAGGAAAGGTCCCGTAATATTGCAAAAGCATTGCCCACCTTCACGCTTGGTATCAGCCAATTATTGGCAATTGCACGAATCGAATGACGCGCTAAAAATGGTCGTACCATGAAAATGGGGCCAGTGGAACAACGAAAAAGACGGAGCCGATGTGAGACGTGTGCTCCCATTGGCACCCGAAGCGCCTCCACGACAGCCAATGCCTCCTTCAAACTGCCTTCAAAACCCGCTGTTTTGGCTTGAACGCGACGCGTGTTCTGCACATGCCTGAAAGCTTCGAATCACACTCGGTTCCGGTGTACCGCTTCCGTCTGCATTTAATATGGTGACCACCATTGAAGATTTTTTTTTGTGGCAGTAACTTGGTGAAAGGTCAGCGTCTGCCGAGCACGCAGCAGATGCGGAGCAAGTATTAGCAGATGACGCCGCAATCAAACTCAATAAAATTGTGTGCGACGCAAAATGTCACATTAAAAAAAACTAGCAGTTGTGACCATTGATGCGCACATAAATATTTCCTATAAAAAATACACCGAGATAGCTTCGTATGAAGATTTATTTATCAAATATTTTGCGTAGTCCACTGCTTGAATCATGTTTACTTTGATAAGTATCCAGAAAGATTGTTGCTAACCACGTTCCTACACCCGGAAAACATGGTGGTGATAAAGTGTCGTATTTGATGGATACCCTTCTATTCTATCTTCCCTTGATAATTGCGCATATGCGGAAAGAAATTGTAGCTGAGCGTGCAGCTTAAGAAAATGTCTTAAATGCATAATGTTATCGTATCTCTGCACCATATCAGCGTTATGAGTCTGTTTTTTGTCAAAATGTATTGTCGAAGCTCTTGGCGACCACATACTTCCTTGGGCACTGCGTAGATGTAAAAAAAAATTTATAACCGCACATCACAAGTGCCACATGTGTACAAAACTTCAGATAGTAGGTCCCCAGCAATAATAGTAGGAGTTGAAACATATATCTTCGCAATTATTAACTGTACTCAAAAGAGGAAGTTGCAAGTATTGTGGTAATGCAGACGTGTATCTCCCAGTAACTCGATGTATTGAAGGAGTCAACTCCCACTATGCCGAACGTTACGTTGCATATGCTCGTTTTCAATAGGGCTTTTTAATTATTTTTGTCAGCGAACTGCTGTAATACACGCATGTCGTCTGATTTGTTCGTTGCATAGGTTGGGTATCAGTAGAATTTCACCCGGGAAGTTGACCCCTTCATGTTTGCATGCCAGTCGATGACGCAGAAATAATTCCCTCTTTTTTGTCATCGCGGAACGGCAGGTGTTTCACGTGCTGTGCGCGCTTCGAATATGCGTTGAAAATCAAAGTGAACAAAGGTGTCATAACCGCTTACCTTCCCTGCGTTATAACAGGCTGCGTTTAGACGCTTTTTTCGGCAGGGACATATCAAGTATTGGCGTCGGCGGGCAAACTTGAGCGGGTCTCCCCTACACTCAGCCGGTCTGGAGGCGCGCGCTCACTCTTTCCTTTACAGCCTGCGCACGGGCACGGTTATCATGAAGGACTGTTACTATCTATCGCCCTAGCTTGGCGGGGGCGCTCCGAGCCAACTTGCTGTAACTCGCTGCTGGTGGCTACGGAAGCTGTCAATGTGTGGCTTCGAAGTTGCCATGGTTCCTTCTGAAGTCACTTCATGGTGCCAATCGAATGAGAACATGGTGGCAGGCAGAACTCTTGTGATTTCTACTTTTTAGAAGAAGAGGCGGAGGTCGCTGGTCTGTTGCTCTGGAAATGGTCACCTTGGCTATGACAAATGTTCTTTTTTTGTTTTCTATTGCGTTTAGAAATGAGAAGGACACTGAGTATTGCATTTCACACGCATGTGCAATAGTGCTTAAATCAGAGATCTCGAAAAATAGTTTGGAAAAGATTAGTTTCAAATACTCATGCCAGCTGTCTCGGCAGCAGAAATAATAATCTTGATTTTTTTCCTTTTTGTTAAAGGCTATATAAATCAAACTTTAATGTTGAAATAAATACGTTAAAATCCTTAAAATCGTTGCATTATCAGGATGACAAATGTTTTCAAGTACATACATGAAGGAATCTTACGATGCCGAAGAGTTCTGCGGAAACACACAAGGTAGTGGAAAGGTCAAGAAGGGGAAATGTGAAGATAAAAGAATGCACGCCGAAGACAAAGAGAAAAAATAAACTACTGATGCACCCGCTTTTGTTACTTGGAGAAGCATAGTTGGTGAGAGACGACGACCGGCAAATGCTCACGTTGTAGCCCGAAATGGACTTTAGTGTGAACCCACTGATGAGGCTAGCGTTGTACTCACCCTTCGGTCTAGCTCGCCGATATTGTTCTCGGTGATGGCCCTTTTCGCACGAGCCTCATTTTTGTCACTCGGCATCCACTGCTGGATAATCTTTTCCAGGTGCACGGCACGGGCGCCAGCCTGAAAAAGATGCGAGGTTTTATTTATTTATCTGGTTGTTTGTTTGTTAATTTCATCGTTTATTTATTCAAAGGGCATTAAAGGCCCATTAAAGAACATTGAGTTAGAGGGTATCACTAATTGTGAGAAAGAAAAAAAATAGCAGCAAAAAAACTAAAACAAAGCAGGAAAAGCAACAATGGAAGGTCATCAATAGAAAAATGCTACAATGGTGCACAATACTGACTTGCTACAAAATGACGTTATCACGGAAATATTTTATTAACCATGAATGAAACTTTGATCCGGAAGACCATTCCGATATGCAACAGTTTTATGTAGTGGTGAGAAGTTGAATGCCTGTATGTCACGATAAACTAGTGCTTCGTGAATACATCGAGATGAGCGCACATGGTGATGAAGTGGCAAACAGTGAAGGTAATTTTTATCGGTGTATCTGGGAAAGACTAAGAAAAACCAAAAGAAAAGGTTGACATCATTTCTTTACAAGTGTGTGACTGTTCTAAAATTTTGAATAACGAATGGGATAGCGTTCTATTAAATTCAGCGTGGGACAATATCCTTGAGCTCTACTTTGGTTCGGGGCAGCTGGTTTATAGTACTCATTTTGAAAGGGCAGCGCATTCAAAATGAGGGCATTAGGCGCCTCGTACATAATGCCACGCTTACACACTGAAATTCTCCTCTGAACTACACCCGTCGATCGTCCACAGAACCTCCAATCGCTGCTCCAACTAAAACTGCCATCCAAAATTTCGCGACGTAACGCGACGATGCTGTGTCGGCTGTAGCATTATCAGCTCATCGCATCGACATGGCTGATGCATCCAAGTGAGGTAACTGCAATGATGTAAAGAATAATGTAGGCCACTGCCTCCAATATTAACAAGCTCGCCGGTCTCTCCGGTGTGTACAAAGGAGACTCGACTATCGGCCTTTTACTCAAAGAAAGATCTTGGAAGCATGGTCTCACAGTAACTCAGTGCAGAAAGCTACACAATCCCTCCTGTGGTCCCTCAAGGTTGCATCGCTGAGCAACCACTTGTGAAACCCTCTACCACATGTGTGGTGTGCAATGTGTCTTTTCGTTTCTCTCTTTTTCTCTCTCTCTCTTATTCCCCTCCCATGTGTAGGGTAGCAGACTGCACGTGGTCTTATCAACCTTTCCTATATTTTCTTATGTCCCTCTTTTGCTCTGGAATATTTTTATATAATCATCAACTACAAAAAGTGCTTTAAGGAATGAAACGTGGGCACAACAAAAAGTGACATTTCTTGTTTTCATCATCGACATATCCACACGCATGCAGCCCGTGCAACTAAGGCATTATCGACGTCATTTCGATCACTGGATGAAGGCGTTTTTCTTAAAACTCAAGTGTCGGAAGACTTGACTAAAGTTCTCTGTCTGTCTGTCCGTCCATCCGCCCATTCGTTCATTCGTCAAGTATCAAGTATGTTTGAAAGCTCTCGACACAGTACCACCTGAAGTACTGTAGCCGCTTTCATATTTCAGCGTGCACTAACCGTAAACTATACCTTGACAAGATATATTTTGAAGCCTCTACTTAGTACTAAGTTAAAATATTTGTATTTTTTCTTGGTTCATGGCAACTATAATTTTTCTTTGTTAAAGCTTGTGAATATTTATTTTAAGGAATATCTTGTGAAATTTTTGAGCTGTTTAGAAAATTGTTCCTTTCTTAATCGAAAGCTAATCGAACATCGCTCAATTTCCATTCGCATTTGATTAGGTGTCTTTACTAGTCAATCGGTATTCGATTTGATTTTGAAATTCCCTATTCGCACCCTCTTGAATTTTTTTCTGTCATGCTGCAAAGTTAATTTCACTGTATGATTGCTATCGCGCTAGTAGTTCACCTATGGGAGAAGTCTATAGAGTGGATGTCATCAGATTAAAGAAAACGTTCTTCGTTGAGACGCTGGGAATCTTCTTTAAAATCTAGGCCCCGAAATTCTGGCTTTTCTGAAATAAAAAAATGAAAGATAGACCAGAGAACTATAGAAGATGCTCCAGTAACAGATACACAACCGATAGCACGTGGTTTCAAAGAGTTTTATCAGTGAGTCTTTAAAAAAATGCACAAAGTTCCGTCACAGACGAGATAAAATGTTTCTGTGCATTCCCTATGTAGCCTCTTTCGTTTCATCAGGAGGGCGTATTTGAACAACTCTTGAACTTATATCCAAAGAAAGCTTGTGACCCCGACGAAATACTAAGACCATTTTTAAAACGATGTGACGAGTGGGTGTCTTTCTATTTGGTAATTATTTTCGAACAGTCATTATGCGTAACCATTCTATTCCACAAGACTGGCATTGCGTTGCTGTTATATTCATGCTTAAAAGTAAAGATCACATGCATCAAAAGAACTACCGTCTTGTATTCTTAACATCTGCATGCTGCAAGATCATGGAGCACGTGATCACTAAACACATTATTCATTTTCTAGAAACAAATAGGCTTTGGGCCCATCAGCATGGCTTCAAAAGGAGGCTATCTACGAATGCACAACTTATCAAAACCGTTCAGGACTTTTCGCGTGCTTCGGATGAACACCAACAAAATTATGCGATTTCCATAAATTTTCATGTGGTAAGCTGCTTATAAGCTGCGTCAAATTGTTGATGTTTTGAACTCGATTGAAGCTTATCTAACAAGGCGGGGACAAGTGGTGCGTGTTAATAATTCTGTGTCGAGCTTTTTGGATGCACTTTGCGTTGTACCACAGGGGTCAGCCATTTATTGTTCTTGCTTTTTTATTAACAATGTAGCCACAGCAGCTCAGCCACCATGATCTTGAGACTGCAGATGACTGCTTAATTTATGCTCCAGTTATCTGTGAAAACGATCCGGAAAAAAATGATCAGCGGCTTGAAAGTGTCCATGCCAGGTGTGAAAAATAAGATATGAATATTAGCTACGCCAAAATCACTTTTTCGCATATTACTCGAACAAAAAAGGTCTTGGTTTGCACTAGCACTTGGGCAGTGCAATTTCGACAAGTCTTTTTGTTTTGGATATCTAGGCGTTGTGATATGAAATTACCTAAACTAGCGCAGAAACGCTGAAAATTTTAGTTCTTCATTATACAGAAAGCCGTGTTTCTTCGAATAAACCTACGAAACACAACCAACTGATGGCATGTAAAACTTTTATTCGACCTGTTATGGAAAATGCTGCCGTAGTTTGGAGTCCCCACTAAAAACGCCTAATATGTCAGCTGGAAAGAATCCAAATACTTACAGCAAGGTTCATTTGTTGAATATAAAAAAAAAGACTGAGTTACCAGGATGCTAAACACATGTAAAATGGTTCTGCTTGAGATGAGGTGACAGAGGAACAGTATAAAATAATTATTTTAGATTTTTCAGAATCAAAAAGATACTGATAAAACGACAACCTGGTGGAATTAGCAGAATATCGTACCAAAGTACAGCCATTAGCCATTCGCACAAATGTCTATCGGTATTCATTTTTCCCCAATGTTATTGAAAACTGGAAAGCACTACATTGCTGAGTGTACAGATGTAAAGGCTTTAAGACATTTTCTTGGGAACTGTGTTACCTTAAAATAGTTGGATGGTGTGTTGATGTCTTGCTTTCTCTTTGTCCTGCCAATGTTGATGATTTCCTTTTTGTTATTGTTGAGAGTTGACAATATTTCAGAGTTTTTATACTCCAATTGTTACTTTTATGTACTCCCTCCCAGTGATGCCCCACAGATGTGAGTTGAAAGTATGCTGAAATAAATAAATATATAAATAACTGAATAAATAAATAAATAAACGAGCGGTTTTTTTTTAAGTAAACACAGATTGGCGGACGTCCTAGCCGCACACCTGCAGGCAATCCTCGGCAGCGCAGAGAGTACACACAGATGTGGTAGTACCGCTTTTTATATTTTTCAGGATGGTAATTTACTACTGCGATGAGTTACTGGAATGGATAGTTTAAAAAATTGACTAATTACTTTCGCAACGAATTTTGATTATTGGCACAGAAAAGACTGATGAAAAAAGAAAGCGAAATTCAGTAGGTAGGTAGTCGTGATATCGTGGAAAAATGAACAGTTTCTGAGAGCTATATATGCTGTGAATGAGTTGTGTTTCATTGATGTCATTCTGCTGAACTAATTTCAAAGTAACGCTCTCGCTTTTCAAAGCTTGCGTTAATGTGCTCTGATTGGTTTGTATTTCGGTCACCTATGAGGTGTAATTCAATTGTTTTTATAAATCACCATAGCACTTAGTCGTGGAAATCAAATAGTTTTAGTGGTGATTTGAGCACGCATCTCCTTCCTTCTCCTCACTCTCATTCCATGTCTCGTGCACCTTCTAGCTGCGCCAATCATCCGCTCGCTTTGTGTTTATTTCAGGCAAAAGAAAAAAAGAAGCACATTTGACCTCGGGGGTTGACGAAAAGGCATAAAATCCTGACAAAGCTCCTGCCCGTTCCTCGAACAACCGAAAACACGACCGAAACGACACAATGCTTAGTGTAAAACTAGCAGTGAAGAAAGAAATCAAAATCAATGAGAGTTGCTACATGCAAGTCACATGTGTATAAGAAGCCTAAAAGATGACCCGAATGGGCTAATCGGTCAATTAATTCCTAACCAATTTCATGTAAGCATACAACGCGTCAGCGCACGAAGTCTAGGCTCGGCGCTGCACCCTATCCCTATGAGGACACAGGGTGCTTAGCTTCGTGCAAGACACGCGTGTTTTCTCTATGGGGAGAGGGTGCGGTCACGTGTTGTAACGCGCACTTGTTGTTAGGGTGTAACGCCAACGACGCACAAGCAGGCGCAAAAAACAACAATGTTGTTAGTTTGGCAAGTGGGAACATAACATGCATATTGGTTTTGAGAGCAACCGGTAGACGAAGTGAGGTGAGAATGATGCATCTTTGTGATCCGCCTTGTCCTTAATCTAATGTTTACGCTCTGCAGAGCCACTATGAATGCATAAAACATCTGCCCCACTCAAGCGTTGAATTTTCCTTGCATTCTTCTCTAAAGCTTTAATTCGTGTTCCGCATTGCCCCCAACTATCTCAACTATCCTCCCTTAAAGGGGCCCTCAAACACTTTCCTGAGTAACCAGGAAATTAATTCACTAGAAACGGTTATTGCCTCACAACGCCACAAAAATTTTAAAAATCCGCCCAGTACGAACACAGACCCAAAGATTTCACACACGCTGTAGTTGCATTCTCTCTTCTCTCGTCCTGACGAAAGCACTGGAAGCTAAGCAGGGAGAGATGGGAGAGGCGAGCGAAAAATGTCGTGCACGCCTCGTGACCTTGAGCACATTTTTTTTCTTAGATTACGCGGCTTTTTCACTGCGATCCTGCACGCACGCATGGACAAGTGGCTGCCTCCCACGGCGATCTTCAGAACGACCAAGCGTGGCATGTTCAAATCACCCAAGGGCTGATAGATGCGCATTCTGCGAGTGATTTTTGAGCGTCTTCCGTCACTTGTCGAGGGAAGATAAAGAATTTTTTAGCTAACTTTGATAAATTACTGTGAATTTCAGGCTGCGTGCTGCGCTATAACAATTGGCTCGCGTGTTCTCGGGAGCCTCTACTACCGATCGGCGACATTTTGTTGCCATGTCCAAAAGGGCTGCAGGGCCCCTTTAATCTAGACTCCATGGCTTCATCCTGGCTGAGAAACTTCCGTTCATTCCATAAGCTGCATATCAATACTAATTTATTCTTTATCTGCTCTAACGAATGTATCCTCTGGTGTCTCCCAGAGTAGTATTTCGGGACCCTTGTTATTCTTAATTTACATCAATTACCTGCAATTTGTATCACCTTTAACGTACGACTCTTTGCTGATGATTACATCTTCTATCACAAGATAACGCTATCATCAGTCGCTCTTCCGGAAGATTTGAATCTCATAACAAATTGGGGCTCACGCTGGAAGGTGACGCTTATTACTGATAAATGCAAGCGAATGACCTTCAGCCTCAAGAAATAATTTTCCTTGTTTAATTAATTTTTAAAAACCTTCTTGTGAAACGCACATCATCTTGTGAATAACTTGGCGTGCATCTTTGATCCTCACTGTCATGGTCAATGCATATTGACAAAATTACAGCGCAGGCCTCCCGCATGGCTACCTCAAACGTAACCTTCACGATGCTCCAACATCAACCGAAGCACTTCCACATCTCACCTTTGTTTCTGCTTGAGTTGAATCAACCTCATCAGTGAGGGTACCTCATCAAGCCTATCTAATAACGCTCTATACCATGTTCAAAACCGTGCCGCGCACATCGTTGCTGAAGATTAAAGCCGAAATTCCAGTATCACTCACATTAAGTCATCGCTATCATTGCCTTCCTTAGATTCCCACCGGATGATTGCCTTGATCCGTCTGTTTCACAAAATAGCATCACGTAACCGCTTCCTCTCACCCAGCAGATAAGTACTTTTGGCCGTTCACACAATAGCTGTTCGTTCAAACGCATTTTCGAACGCACTAAGGCATTTGAAGTATGGAATGGTCTTCCCAACAACTTTGTCAACATTGCTGATCATGTATTGTTTCGTCACGAAGTTGCTACCATTTTTTCATCCCCAGTGACTTAAAATTTCCCTAAATTATGCACAATCCTCATTGGTAGCTGTTGTAAACTTGTTATTGCCATGTGATGTATTCTTACAAACAAGCATATTCATTGACTGCATGTCCTGTTTGCTCTCGCTAAATAATCTATTACAATATTTTTTTCTTTTATGCAAGATAACACGTATTATTGCGTTGTGAAGCTTCAACTAATACGAATATGCACTGTATAATCCCCCTCCTCACACAATACTGCAGCTGAAGCCTGTGAATAATTTCTAAATAAACGAATTATAAATATCAAATAAATAAATAAATAAATAAGTCATATATTTATTTCGCCAAGTGCCACAGTGGGATCCCGGGTGACGTCACGGTGGACGAGAAGCGGACACCTGATGCGCATGATGACATGTACTGTGGCGTCATACGTGTCTGTGTTTCTCTCGTGCCACGACGTGGCGACGAGCCCGGGTCGCAACGCCAGCCAGAGTGGAGCACATCGCGATAATTTCGAGCATTCCGGTCTCCTAGTATACTCATAAATTTAGATTTAGTGCACATACGCTCTGAGTGAAGCATTATTAGGCGGTGATCGCGCATTCGGAAACAGATCACGTTTATAATAAGGGCGAGGTTGGTTCTAAAATTCTTATTTATTTCGCGAGTTTAACTCTCATGAAGCTGGTTGTCATTCGTTATCAGAGTGAGCCAAACCCGAGGCTATGTTCATGCGCAAGGCCTCGTCTGAGGGCAAGCTAAGGCCACAACCAAAAAGAGGAACTGCCCTAACTGTCAAGCACATTCTCTTATTGACTTCACGATACATATATACCATTGTGATTGCCTAGATTTTTGACTGCATTGTCTCAAATTTTCTGCCGCGTTTTGGCTGACCGTTGTCTCGAGAAGAGCAGACAATTTTCATTGACTTACTTCGAAGAGATCCACTTTTTTGCCGAATATGTCGAACGAAGTGGCCACGCGGGCACTCCGCGGGTAGTACGAGTCTGGTGTGTAGACAACGTCACCGTCCAGCTCGAAGCCCGTGTCCAGTGGGTCAAAAAACATCCGGTAGTGGACGTTGCGTGAAAACTTGCGGAAGTCCAGCTGGAAGCGCTTCCTCAGTGAGAGGTCATTGGCAATGACCCGGTACTCAGCCTGGTAAGCAGACGGTTCACGGGCCAGGTTACGAATGTGGGAGTACACGAACGATCCGACTGCAAAAGACCATTTTGAAGAAAACCAAAGGCCACATTATGGACCACAGTGTACACGGGACTGGAATGCTGCCCTGCTGAGGCAGCAGTGATCTATCGCTAGGGGTGCGATATCACTTAGCAGATAAAAAAAAATATGCTTTGAGGAAGTTATGAGCAGAGTTGTAACAATAAAAATGGAATGCAGCATTAAACACGAGGAAAACATCGCGAAGCTTTTTTTTTTTGTAGCACAAGGAAAGTCCTTTGATTTGTACAAGGTGCATTTCAAAATTTGCTAACAGGGCATAAAAGAAATAGGAAAAGGACAAGACAACATAAGTAAAGAGCGCTGACTTCCAACTAGATGCTTATATTGATAAAAAGTGCATTTATACCATGCAAAGAAGTGGGTAGACCAACAAAGAATAAGAAAGAAAAGAAACAGGAAAATATGTACAGTTGCGGCGAGCATTGAATCATCATTTCACTTTGTTTGAGAATATCACCAAACGTTCCATGAAACCCAGTCAGGTAATCAATTTCTGATTTAAAAACGCAACATATGGTGTGCTGACGCGCTTATCACCTAGCTTATCTATCAAATCTCTTTCGAGAACTTCACGAGTTAGCTGAACTTTATGTTGTGCCATCAAATTGCTCTGCTTGTTCAAGGTGGTCTGGTTACGTGTACAGACTAGAGCAGAAAAAAAGCAAGATTGTTTCAGTGTTTGATTCTTCCAATTCTAAGCTCGTTACACACAGTATCGTTTCTTCATTTGTTAATGACTTGAACAAATGGTGCGCTCACCGGCTACGACGTAGTTTTGATGACCAGGTTATAGTCACCTTCGAGATTTGGTGTGTGCGCGTGCAAGTGTCAGTTTTTGCAGATATTGGACTCAACGTGGCAAAACAAGGTGCTTACATCAACCGGCTGAAATCACGAGACTTTGCAGAGAATAAGTCTGCTAGCCTCTAAATCTGCTCCGTGTCTAGAAATGGGGCAGAAAGGGCGGCAATAGATGCTGTTTTCAGTGCACCCGACAGGCTTGCACAAATGTGCAGGGCGCTTAATGAAAGGTACAAGAAATTGGTGCACACTGAGAAAACACAGCGACAGCTTTGTACTGTGAGCTGTAAATGAGGTCTGTGCAATTGCTTTGACTTGAGGCGTGTCGTAGATAAGCTTAACTGGAGGATACCTAAACGCCCAATCGGAAGAGCATAAGTAGGACACCGTAGTTCCAGACATGTACTTATTCGTCAGAACAGAGGTCCCAAACTCACGCCATCTAGCAGACCGCAGTCAAAAAATTTGGTCCCGCATGCGCAAGAGCAGTATTGCGCGAACAGGATGGGAATGGTGCTCAACAGAATGACACCTAACGCTACCATTGGGAAAAACATATTCTTCATAGTTGATATCTGGATGATTTCTAAGGAAATTCAGCGTCAGGATTAGAGACGAAGAGATACCAAACTCCAGAATGGTTCAAGTCGGGACGGTGAATGTGAAACCTAAATATAAATTTATTTCTACGATTTGATATTAACACGAAGAGACAACATTGAAGGCCACGGATGAGAAAGGCCTCGTCTCTACAGCTAACTGGAAGAAAGCTTTATTAATCGCTTAGAGCGAGCTCACAGTATGATTTGACATCTACATGTGTTTTATTCCAAGTGACGCCACGGCCCGCGAGTTTGAGACCTGTGCGTTAGAAGGGCCAGAGATGTCCATCTCTACTTAGAAGCGCCAGAATCACGTCCAAATCAACCGGTGAGCTAACAAGAGAGATGCTCAGAGAGAAAAAAAAACGCCAGGCCTGTGACCCGTAGGAACTCTCTAATATAAGTACGCTTGCAACGTAACCACTACTCCAATAATTGATTTGGTGGCTAAGTACGGTAGAGAAGAATGCCTGAGCCTTTTGTAATGAATTCGAAGCATTCAACGACCCACTAGCAACGCAATTCATATTTCTTAGAGAACCAGTTTCGTACGCCTAGTAAATCTGCCCATATATTGACAAGTACAAGTGTTAGTTCGCCCTATTTGTGCAATCTATTAAGCGATCATTTTCATCTAATCCCTTGTGTTTCATGGCGCGTTTTTACTGCAATTAGAAACCAACTAGCTCGAAGGTACGTGTCCATAAAATTGAACTTTGTCTTTGTGAGACCTGAAAAACATATCGCTCTTGACGAAAGCATTCATAAAAACAATCAACTCAGTTAGCTGAAAATTGAAGCTCATCGTTGTTCACAGGTGGACGAACAATTGTTCTCAGCGGCTATTTAAAGTATCTCAGTAAACAAGCGTACTGGCTGAAGTGCACTGAAAAAAGCCAGTGTAATGACAGACACACGCAAGCCACAGTGAAAATGAGCACAACGTTTCTGTAATACTCTTTTGCAATTATTGGAGCATGTGCGAAATTTGTTAAGACTGTAAATCGTGGTAAATAAAATAGTGCGAATCAGTATTCGCACTTTCAGGTGACCATAAAAGGCAATTATCAGCCCACCATTGTTACCGAACAATGTGGTCAGTTGTCATGCACCAGTAGGCCTATTACCACAACTATTTGCGCAAAAAAATAGATTGGGCTATTTCTAATATGTAAGCTTTGACTGAGCAATATTGTATTTGATTGATTGATTTATTTATTTCATACCAACTGGACCTCATGAAATTGCAGGGAGGAGAGGAAAACAAAATTCAGAGCCTACCCAGAAGCATCAAGACAACATACGTAATCACGTATGCAAGAATGTCATTATTGTAACACGAGAGTGTAATATAAATATGATCTAAAGCATAAATATGTAAGCCATAAGAAAAGATACAAAATTACAAATACACAAGCATGCAGCAGAGCTCGCAAGCAGTAGCATAAGCGATCAAAACTTTAATATAGCAGGAATTACTCTATCAGTGTGATTGATGTGTCTTCAAACGGTGTAATAGGGATCAATAATTTTGAATGAAATGGAAGGCAAGATATTTGACCTAACTGTAGTCTCAACCTTCGGGCGATTCTTGAATCAAAAACATGAGTGTGCAACGCACCTTGCTTGATGGATTCGGTGCGAAGGGTGTCCTTGACAGCGTCGATGACAGGGCTGCTCGCGCAGCGAATGGCGGCCAAGTAGCTGGCGATCCTCAGCTCGACATTCTCGTGCACATTCTGGTAGATGCTCAGCATCTGATTGCGCTGCATGAGAAGCGCTCATTTCAGAGTGACGCAGCACGACATCGAGCAGCACACGTGGCAGAACGTGAATTGACACGGAGAGGCAAGTGAAGAAACAATAATTGGATTTGTGTATATCCGGGGAAACTGTTTACTTTTGTGGTTAGTTCTACACACTGTATACGTTTAATGATTCATTTCTTCAGATGATTCGAGGATATCCCGCTGGACTGCTTTTACGACAGATAATATAGTGTGCGAGTGGTGAGAACGCGATTTCGAACAGTGAAACAAGTGTCACGTGTTGTTGATTAAATAAATGATCAGAAAAGTACTCTCTAGGGTGCGTTGCTTTTAATAACTTATCATTTAGGTTCGCTTATCCCTCGAAAAGTCAATGCTTCATCGAGGCCACATCGAAATCCTGTTGCTATGCATCGCTAAGAGTTACGAAAACCCAGAGTTGCCGTAAAGCCTTCAAGTCGCATATAATTGTGTTCTTACGTTTTTTCACAAAATATCCGAAGGTGATGTTATGGAGCACTGTTAAAAAATTTTCGGCAATAGAATTTTGCTGAAACTGGTGAAACTTATTCTAAATTGACCTTCAAATGCATATTGCAAACGACTTATACTTGATTCTCGGAAATATACGTTTAGTAATATTTAAGCTTTATTTCGGATACATATTCGTTTCCAGCAACCATAGTTCGGTTCCCACTCTGCTGCACGTTTTTTTTTATCATTTATTTTGTTGGCGTCATTCCCGAGTTTATGGCCACGCATATAACAAGATGATTTTTTGCGTGAGCGAAAAATCATCATCCTATATGCCGACACCGACACCAGAATTTCTGCAAAACGCGCTTTTTAACGTTAATATATATGTCAATCACTGAAGAAAACGATAAACACTATAAAAAAGCAAGATGGTAAAAACTAGTATAGCCTCTTACGCGAGTCTTTCAGTGCATGTAAGTCTTCACATGCAGTAATCAGTGAGGTTTCTTAGTTTGCACGAGTCGGTCGAAGAGGCAGCACTTACCGGTATGTCGCAGTCGAAGCGGCGGAAGGCCTGCACGGCGGCCAGTCTAATCTCAACGTCGAGTTGCGGGTTCTGGAAACAGCTGTAGAGGATCTCCTCGGCTCCCTCGGACTGACCAAGGTTACCGAGAGCCTTGAGCACCATCAGCGTCTGCGCAAAAAACGAGAACTAATGAACCTACTCTTGTCTGTTCCCGCCCTCTATATCTGAAGCAGTCTAACTGTGAACGAAGACTGGCTGTAGCCACACAACGTGCATATATGTTGCCAACTGGATTATTGCTATACCGCAATACATTTTCGTCATAGTTAAACCTACGAGACAGATACTCATCAAGCCGTTCAAGAACTATTCGATGCGATATGTTTGATTGTCAGCATCGAAGCATTAGGTGGTATGCTTTCGGGGACATCCCCAATGTCAGGATGTTTTGTAGCACCTTTTACGTATGCAGTTTTTTTCTTATGCCGTAATTTCTTGTTACAAGTGAGTTTATATATGTCATGATCGGTTAACTGTCTATTGGAAACCTGGCAGACAGTGTCATTGTGATGACTGCTTTTATTTTAAATTGTTTACTGCCCTCATGACAACTTTCACCCAGTGGACCTCTCTAGGACCTGCATCTTTCTGGAAAATGAAATCACTTGATTCGACTTCATTTCAATTGAAAGAGAGGCTATAAAAGCAAGGCATGGCTGCTGTAAGGAAGTGGACTTAATATTGCAATATGGTATTTTGAAGGAGTCGCGCAGAAGGGTCTGCAGTCACGCTGTAGCTGTGAAATAGAAGTTGGGCACTTGATTCATCCAGCAGTCACCATTGACATGATCCCAGATAAAGCATAATAATATCGTAATTGTTGTGGTTTACCTTCACAAAACCAGTATATATTCATTAGAGACAGTGTTGTGGAGGACTGCATGAATTTAGACCACTTGCGGTTCTTTAACGTGCACCTAAATCTTAGCACACGAGCCTCAAGCATCTTTACCTCCACAGCAAATGTGGCCACCACAGCCAGGATTTGATCCCGCAGGCTGCAGCAGCCGGGTGCCACAAGACCATCGTGACGGGCTTCCGGACAATGTAAGTGCCGCATGCAAGCTATATCGGCTCACCGTGCGGTCGTCGCGGGCGTAGCAGTTCTCGCCGAGGGTCAGGTACAAAGCGCGGACGAGCTCCTTGATGGGTCGCTCCGAGCCGCAGTGGGCGTGGTTGCGGCAATAGGTGTACGCCATCGTCGACACACCGAGGTAGGCCTGCGATCGCTCCGTCTTCAGCAGAGGCTGCGAACGAGGTCATGGCTTGTTACTTCGGATAGCGCGTATTCATACTTTCATCACTCTAGGTTACCTGCGATACACCAGTTCTCCTCGATTGCGTTTTCTCCAAAATGTTGCAATAAACAAACACTGGTCTCACCTAAGTGCATTTTACGTTCAAATGAATGTCGGAATTTTATTTTATGTTCTGAAGAAATAAAGTAGTGAATAACTATGCTAACAGTGTTCTGATTTTCATATTTAATGATAGAAAGTTATAATAGCCCCACGAGTAGTCGTATGTCGACGACCTTGTTCCAAACTAGACGGAGAGCTCCCTAGTTTGAATCCAAAACAAAAAGTGTGACGATATCGCATGCAGATGGTCAAGTGTCTGCAAAAAAAAAATGCTGTGATTGAACGCACTTTAGTCAAGTTTGTCGAGCGACAGCGCTTACTTCGTCAGCGCTTACGTCAATGAATGACGAAGGTATGTGACTGGTGCAAACATGATAATCATGAGATGTGTGTCATGTGAGGACATGGCTACATGCCACAGTCCAGGCACCAATACGTTTCGACGTGTCGCGGTGCGCGTGCTCGCCGGCGTTCATTTCATTGCGTCACGCCGGCGTTGCCACGCCAGGCACCGGTCCTGCCATATACTAGCAGGTGCTCGCGGCGCTGCGTTGCTTTGGCGCATGCGCGTTTCAGCACGTCCAGCGTCCCTACGTCACAAAAAGAGGGAGACGCAGTGTTGTCTGGGTAACGCATCGGCACGAAATGCAGCATGTCGCATTTCGCACCGGTTGCCGTCGGGCCACGCCGACGGACGCCGCGTTTTGCTAACGTAGCGTCGCTGTTGTCAGCGTGCGCGCGCGTCAACGCTACATTGGAGTATATTGAGCCCTTCATGATGTGCTGGCGGCCATTTTATAGCAAGGTTAGTGTTAGTTTACGTCAATGCATGATGAAATATATGACTGGTGCAAGCATGATAATCCTGACACACGTGTCATGTAAAAACATGAAAACATAGCATGTTCATAGCATGCTCGCGGGTGTTTCACTAATTCCGCATATACTGAATCTGGTATCACATGACGTAAATAGATGACGAAGGTAAACTACAAATTCAAACATGATAATCATGACACGGAAGTGATCTACGGCATCATTTACCACCACCTCGTAATTTTGGGCTGATTTTAAAGTGGCATATCAACCTTTCTCATTCGTGCTTCGCATACCGTCGATTCCCACACTACGTTGGATCTGCTAATTTTTTTCAAGACCAGGCCTCATTGAGGCATAAAAGTTCACCACCTGTGTGGATGGTGTTGCTCTGTTGACAACTCAGTGGTCTGCTTCTTTCTAAGTCCTATTTCCTTGATATTTTGCCCTTAACATCGAGCATCCTCATGAAATGGCGTTGACATTGGAATTTGTTATGAGGTAAGAGCTTGTCCCCATTATCACTTCAGATATATATTCACGTTAACCTGTTGCATTTTTAGCAGTCACACATATTTTATAGGAACATAGCTTGTTGGCTGTTTTAAAAGAGCTGTTTTTATGCTTTTACCGAAGGTAAAGAAAAAAGCATCAGAAAATGTGGTTTCTAGTGATTTTTCATCATTACAGACTAAGAAAAAATAGATAGTTTTAGGAGCTGTTGCAAATAGTTTTGGTGTTGTTTTCGCACCATATTGCCATATTGCAAACTGAGATATCTTGGACAAAGTGAGGTTTTCGTAACATAAAGTTTAAAACCCCTTGAACATAGTTAACAATATTTCTGGATATTAACAATATTTCTGGATATTCAGAATACCGTGCAGTTGTTGTTTCGAAGCTTGCCAAGTGCAAGCTTGCCAAGCAGCGAAAAACAACAGGCACAAGCTGGCAGCCGATGTGGCCTGGCACTGAGTTCTCATATGGCTTATGACATGCTGGTATCAAATAACTTGTCTGTAATGGTACTTGCCTTCATTCAGGCTTTCAATTAAAAGTGGGAAGATGAAGAAGATTGAGCCTTGTAGGACCCTCGCATGCAGAGTCAGACGCATGTCTTAGGCAATGCATTCGCAATCGTTTGGCTTGGTTAAAGCAAGGCTTTACGTCCGCATCTGGCTGGACTTCTCGTAATGTTTTAGATTGCAAGTGCATGCTAATAGGTATGTGTGAGATAACGGGCGCAAATGAAGTATATGGCGAGTACTTTTAAAAGAGTATGGACTAGAGCAGCTACAAGGTGGGAAGGTTTAACGCTCTCTTGTCGAAGGCGCGGACGCGCCCTTTCGGTGGCTTGCTCGCCCTCGCAAAGCGAAAGGGTGGTCATGATGAGCGCCACGCAGAAGCTGGGACGAAGGGGAGTCATCTTGGTCTTCCCGCCTAAACGAAGAAAGAGGGCCGCCTCGGTGGAGCTTCTGCGAAGAGAGTGTAGGAGAGTGTAGGCGTAGAGCGTCACCACTCGTTCTCTCACTGTTCGCTCTCTCTCCTCCCTGCGGCCCACTCTCCCGTCCGCTTACTCGTACGTATAGGTAGATGGCGTGAAGCGGTCGCCTCACTCTCGACCGTTCACTTGCTGATGAATTAGTAAACAAATTTTTCCTGTACAATTTCTCGTCTTGTGATTAATCCACGCCATTAAAACTACCACGTCGTGTACACTCGACGCAAGAAATGCATGCGCATTTCCTCACGATTCCCTTCGGGGGAAGTGGGGGTTCTTTCTCTGCTCGCGGAGTTTCACGACAAAGGACTCGTCAGTGCTATGCCCAATTTCAGGACGTCTTTAGGACGCTCGAGCAGAAGCAAAGGAAACAACTCTGTGCACCGAAGCGAGCGCTGTTTCGTCACCTCGAGAGTTGTTGCTACGTGGTTAGAGCTAAGCCAGCTGCCTCGCGGCTAAGTCCGTGGTACGGAGGGCATAACTCTAACCTTATCGAGATTTTTAGTCCCATGGCAATGCAATCTTTGTTTCTTTTTTTTTTGCACGACGGGAAAGTTCCTTCATGACAGCACGCATCTACTATTGCCAGCTTGCACAACAAAAAACAATCATATGTTTTTCGTTGCCTACAACTTAGAACATCGACTGAGTCCCAGGCTTCATTTCCCAGTCCATATAGATTATTTCCAATATTGACCGTATACAAGAATCAAGCTTAATTCGACAATACCATCGTACACGGCAATGTCGCGAACTTCAGAAATGTATTTAGCGTCATCTCTGGCATCGTTGTCATCTGCTCCACATCGTAAATGTGAATAACAAACTTTTCTCCTTTGATTACTTTCGCTTTTCGTAGTTTCAGTAAAGCTAGGAGATTCTCTTCAAGCGGTATATTGCGTGGCGCTGCAAATGCAGCGCAAGTGAAGTGCAAAAGCTGTGCGCGTTCTCGTAAGCAAGCGGTAGCACGGCAAACAGGCGTATATTTAGTTTTCTCTTTTTCTGCCAGAAATAGCGCTACCTGTCCAGAGATATAGCGCCACTAGGAGACTCGTATAAGCTTGGGATTGGTATATGAAGAGGGTGGCGCGATGCGATCAGTCCACACGTCTCGTGCTGGCGCATTGTGGTGCGTACGCAGCGGTAAATCCAGAGGGTGGATAAAGGTGGTGTCCCCCCCCCCCCCCCAAACCTTTGTCAACAACACCGCCCCTCGATCACTTCAGTGCTTGTTGACCTCCTATCACTGATAAGACTAATGAGTGAAACCACTAGGAGGACACATTAACAGTGTTTATGTTATGAAGCGGTTTTTTTAGTAGAAAAAGTATTGACCACGCCCCACCTCTCTCTTTGGCGTTACTTCAGGTGACCGCCACACAACAATGTGTGGGTAGAGATCCACCCTTGTGCATACGTGTACAGCAAATTTTCAAAGACGCGTCCATCAGTTGTGTGGGTCCCTCACTTTCGCATAATCACCGAGTTTTTTCGCCTAGGTGTACAAAGCGCGAATATCGAGTAGAGTGCACTCACCAATGCATGCTCAATCATTTCCGACGTAGGCTTGGACACGAACGCCAGAGATGTGAGCCATACGTCAGCGTCAACACCAGCGACCTGTCCTGAGATCATGGCTTTGGTCATCATGCGGATGGCGGCTGGGCTTCCGGCAGCTGGCAGGGCGTCCGAGAGAAACTTTCTGTAACACAGGTGCAGGTGTTTTATCAAAAGCTTCCCAAGCTGCTCGAAATACAGTCTTTACACTGCACCAAGCACAAGCGCACATACGCACGCACACACACGCCACCGATGTCCGAAATCTTATTGGAAACATCACTACTTTTTCATGGCAGTTCAGTTCTCTGCTTAATGTCTCAAACACGATAATGCACCAGAGCATTGTATTATTAGAATCTTCTCAACAGGTTTGCTTATATATGTTAACGCACTACAAGCCTACAGAGTCATCGTAAAAAAAAAACATGAACTTTTATAATAGGATGTAGCTATCCGCACTACACCGAAGTTCAGGTGAAGATACCGGCTTGAAAAAAAAATTTTGTCCCGACACAAGTCTTTGAATGAAGACAAATGCCTCACCGGGAAATGCGGCATCAGCATGAGACCGAATGCCATGTGAGCCAGCGTTTCAATGATAAACTTTGTCAGGGCCTAAACCAATCTAGTGAAAAGCTTGGCCCACATGACGCCACGGTTGAAGGATATTTCATGGTGCTGCAGTCGATGTTCGGGCGTAAAACCTTGCGGGAAAAAACACGGTGTTGCCGAATCAACTTTGTTGTAAGTCAGCATTGTTGTTTGCGTCCTCCTTTTTAGGGGCGAAGCTTCTTAAGGCGTGGGTCGTGCGTCTTCCGTATGTATCGGCCGCCCCTCATTTTAGTCCTTGTAATGTTTGCTGGACGGCGGTACTTGTATGTGATGAATATATGATGAAAAGATGTGAGATGGCGGTACTTGGAGTGTTCACTAGAAAAACGAATGGATGGATGGACATACAGACATGGGGACAGACAGACAGACAGACAGACAGACAGACAGACAGACAGACAGACAGACAGACAGACAGACAGACAGACAGACAGACAGACAGACAGACAGACAGACAGACAGACAGACAGACAGACAGACAGACAGACAGATGGATGGATGGACGCAGCCAGAAGATGATTCACGGGTTGTTGATAGGGCCCTTCGAAGCTTTGCCCCACTCATCATCATTCACACCATTAATATGCTGTAAATTTTGAATGCTTCGTGATTCGCGCTCTATAGTTTTCGATAGTTTATGCTATTGGTTCGTATCAAATGATTTAGCTCAGTCATTTGCATTCTCATCGTATGTAAACAATGTGGGATGCTGCACGAGTACTTACTTAGCTTTGGGAGACATGCTTTCCGCTCTGCGAAACAGGGATTCCAAGTCAGCGGTGGTGAGTTTGCGCAGGCTGAACACGAGTTCAGTGAACAGTCCAGGAGTGGAAGACTGGACAGCATCTGCAGCTGAATCAGCGATGGCTTGCAGCGCGTTCTCGGCGCGCTGCAGAGAACTAGAAGACTCTTCGGTATCGTAGTCGTGGTCAAACAGGAGGTCAGTTTCAGTTTCCGACGTGTACGCTGCGTTAAAACAATCGAAATAGTGTAAGAACCATATGAACTCAAGTGCTCCACTTTAAGACAAAACGTCATGTGGTAATGACGAGCTATTTCGCACACGTGGAATGCTGTCGATTAAACATTACAGCAATAAAAAAAGAACACGTAAGATAGCTCCGTACTGTGTATTACAAACAGGCCGTGATAACCGAGTGTGTGCCGATTAGGATACATACCCGAAATCGGAGGCTAAAAGCTAGCATATATGTTTGAAAACTTGGATTCAGAAGTGGTTTAAAATATCCGACTACATTGGTTGAGTTCACTTTCAACCGTGTCATTTTGTGTCTCGTAACACGTTGAGAAGAGGAAGATGAACGTCCGGTTTCCCCGCAAAATCTCCAGTGAGGTGGAACTGTGTTGTTAAACGAATGATTCGAGCAGAGGTGCAGTCGCAGCTGGACAATTTCACTGCGCTCTAATTTCTCATTATCTCATTAGGAAGTATCACAGTCATCGGAGACGCTTTTTTTCTTCCATTCCTTGGCGCATGGGTCTCAGCTGCTCTCTCTGAATAGTGACACCTATTGATCCCACAATAACACCAGAACGAACCGCGACAAGCGTAGCGCGTTCTTTACGTGTAGCGTGCAAGTTCTTTCTACCTTCAATTTTCATACCTTCGTGGGAGAATACCACGCAGTTCACATGTTTTACGCTGCAATAAAAGGTGTTCACGAGACATATCTTCTATGCAGGATAGGAGGTTCTGCGCGCTTAAACCAATTGTGCAGTAATTATAGCGCCGTGACGTAAAGGAACCCGTGTGGCAATAATTTCTGTGTCGTTGTCAGCGTCGGCGTCGTTAGTTATGAATGAAAAATCACTGTTGTCCTCGCAAATTGAAATAAACAGTTTGTTTTTCTTTTCAAGCGTCCACCGTATTAAGACTTTTCGAGTAGCAGTGCGATGTTTTCCCTCTAAACTATGCCAGTGCTTGACGCTGTTATGGCAAAAAGAAAAACAAATACACTTTTTTCTGTTCAAGGGAACCATGTTTATATGCGAAGCAGAGGGCGCTGACAATTACACTGGTGGCGACGTTGACGCTGACACTCATCGAGGCGTTGCGCAGAAGAGAAACCTAGGGAGGCGCAAACCACGCAGTGATGAACCGAGGTTTCCCACTGGAACATGCCAATCGCTGCTAATGGGCAATTAGATACAGAATACTACGATTCCACACAGACACCCGCCGATCGCTTCTAGTTAGCGCGCATGCGGCGAATTCACCACCCACAGCAGAAATATTTTACTGTTACTCCAAAGAAGGTCAAGATCCAGTGCCATTATATGGGGTGGCCCGTGAACGGTTCTGCAGCAAGAGTAGTCGGTTTTTCAATAAATAAACTCGCTAGCAGACTCTTCTTGCATCGGCATTGCGAGGTGAGAGGGGGAGAGGTTGCGCATGCGCAATGGCAATGTAGACGCCGCGGGGGGAATGCCTAGAGGAGAGAGAAAGGGGAACGAGCATTGGTTAGCAGATGCCCAGTGCGTCGGCTTTGTGAAGCGGGAGAAATGGGAGCATAGGAAAGGAGAGAGAGGGGGAGTGGTTGGGCATGCGCAGTAAGGGTGGTCACACCGCACGCCTGATTGAACTCGACCCTTAGCTGCTTTGCGCCTTTAAAATAGCCTATATTAAAAAGTGAGGACTCTGATTCATATATGTAATATTTTATCTTAGGCGGATAGTAGGGCTTCGGGTGTCACACCGAGTGAATTGCGCAGCGAGTGGTTGTTGTAAAGGCCCACCAAATGCAAAGCGTTCTGGTGTAATTGAGTGCCATGATCAGCAAGAGCATCACCAAAGTGCAGCCATACGGACGTGTAATGAGGCTCATTCGCAAAACAAATAATTGGGGCGTAGTGTGCACTTCGCAACTACTCTTTCAGCAGGCCTGCATTCAAGAATGATTTCCAACGGCTAATGATAAGTGCACGCGGATTCTTTTTCTTGAGGAATAATTGGGGGTGTCCCCTCAAAGCCTCACTAGTTTGTCTAACCTAAAAAATAAGATGCAAATGAACTCAAAAAGTGGCATGGAAGTGATAGGGTTTGTCTAGTTGGCTTCTTATTTCTCCTTTTAACAAGCGTGAACGAAAATTTTTTTTTAGTTTGGCTAGTTGGTGGACCATTGTGTACCAACTAACCCCGTTTGCCATCTTCCTGAACAAAAACACAAGACACCGGAGCAAGTTGAAAAGGATAAGTGTTTCGTGCGAGTCAGTCCAGACCAATAATGCTACGTATGTGAACGTGCATACGCTTCTATATTGCTGCATGGCAATAACACTGATTCAGTAGCAAATATGAAACATTCTGAACATGATCGGAAAACATGCTTCCATAATAACGTTTCAGGGATGCGAAAGCAATCATGTTTTGAGTCGTAGTGCTTACCAGCATTACCTAGGTGTGTATTGTGGAATACAGATATACAGGCTATGGCTATGAGCAAGTGGCTAGCTACATCTGCTGAGTCAGCCACTTTCGGCGGCAAAAGCCGACAATTTCGGCTCCGTGGTCCTGTCGTCAGTGGTGTCGGGTACTTTTCTTCTAGGGCCATCCTCTGCGTGGTGGGAACGCCTCGCCACCCTTCGACTGTTGCCGACCAAACGCACGCCCTTGGTTGACAAAAGAGCCGTTTTTTTTGCCCTTTCAAATTCATAAACTCCTTTCGAATAAAAGAACTAACGAGATTTTCATGTCTTGCATGATATCATGATATAATTGATCTATTGTACAAGATTTCCCCTGCCCAATTCTAAATACATCTTCGAGCTTATCTTGATGCCGGAACACGGATACTCAAAATTACTAACGCGATACTGTGCAACTTTAGTATCGGGCACTATCTGCATAGTTGCGTTAGCGCTTAGTTAAGTTATATAATGCAAGTGAAGATCATAAAAACATTGCACCACTATTCTGAGATTCCACAGTGATGGTGGTCGCATTTCGTTAAAGATAAAAAGCCCGAGGTCCACGTCAGTACATGTTAAGGAACACCGGATTGTCGAACCTTTCAGAGCCCTCGACTACGGCGTCTCTCGCAATTATATTTATTTATTTATTAATTTATTTATTTACACTGTTAGCCAGAGGCCAATACAGGGTGGAGTACTGAAATACTTTTCACACATTGTTCAAAGATGCAAGCAATACACAGTGGATCAAAACAGACAACGCATCTGGCAGCTTTAAACAAAAATACACCATACAAACCATACAAATCGTGATGCAAATGGAAAGGAAATCTAACCAAAAGTACAAGGCACAGAAGTATTCAAGTTTTACGCCGTAGTGACCAACATTGAGCAGACAGCAACACAATTGCGCACACTACACTCAACATACACGGTGCCACATGCTTCCAAATTCTAATAATGAAAATCAGGAACTTTTTATCAGTACCTCGTGAGTGTTATTTCCACGCAACAGCATACAAGCGTATGCATGTTCATATATGTCGCGTTATTAGTCCGAACGGACTTGCACAAAACACTTATCATTTTCAACTTCCTTCGGTGTTTGGTCTCTTCGTTCAGCAAGATGGCAAATTGAGCTAGTTGGTGCACATTTGCCCACCAGCACATGTATCAAGGTTTCAAGACGTAAAACATAGATGCCTGCAATCAACATGACCCGCCGTGACTCTGCACATAAAATCTCACCTGGGCGGCGTGCTTGCGACCTCCGCTGACTGCGCAAGTTTAGTCTCTGCGTGACGTCAGTGCGAGCGCCATTATCGCTCTTGGAGAAGGGACGCACCACGTGTGACTCCTTGCACTCAACGCTGTCAACGAGGCCATTCTGGAACACCTGCTTGCACTCTTGGCGACCCTTGACCACGGGCGCCGACCTCAGGTTCTGCGATAAAACGCAGCAGGCAAGTTGGCTCCTGGTTCTGCAACCGCGATATGCTACGCGCCCGTGTTTAGGCATTGAGAAAAACGTGTCGTACCCAAGATAATGTTTCAGGCAACCGCGCTGCGTTGTATTACCAAGCGTGTTTTATTAACGCGATAGAATTTTATGCTGGGTTCAAACACGAGTTCAGTGACGCGTTTCTGTCACGGATATGACGTTGTAGAAAGAATGATGCCTATTGAGAAAGAAAAAAAAAGCCTTCAAAAAACACGCCGCTATGTGTCTCACTTTTGGATTAACGGCTTGTGGCGGAAAGCGCCCGGTGCTATATTGACTGAACTGTCAACGCAGTAGCAAGCCTCCTTACAAACACACCTTATATCTCTCACACATTCTCTCTCGTAGGGTGCACTTTGAGGGTGACGCGTGCTGGTGCCGCGGTGTGTAAGCAGTGAAAAGAAGTAATGTGGCATGACACTTAGTAGCAGTGATTGAGAACAATTCGTCGATGGCAGAGTTAAAAGATGGCCTTGGATATGGCGCGCTAATCTAGGAGGTCATGGTTGAAACGTCTTCACAGCATCAACAAACGCTGGCCACGCTGGCATTGGTGAGTCGACCTGGAAGCAGTTATGTGTCATTCTACATATGTTCTTTGCCTTTCGCTTCGTGTTAGCATGCGACTGCTTGTTGTCGGAGTAGGGCAGCTTCCAGAGCCACCGACGGTGTTTCGCCGCCGACTGCTACGAGTGCGATAGCACCGATCTATATAATTTCAGCAGTAAGCGCTGCAGAAAGGCAGTGATGCATATGGGCGAATGCGGTGCTTTTCGTGAGCTAAACGGAAGCCAGCGGGACCCAGAACGCGTGCACGCGTTTGCGGCTAAAGCTACGAATCTCCCTGTGTTGCTAAAGCATGGTGGGGTCGTGTATGCATGAAAACATGATTAGGTTACCGCATCACTCGGGAGCGCGTGCCGCCATTTGCTTCCTTTATTTATGGCGCTTTGAAGAATTGCACATTGGCTGTGTTTATTACGTGCCTGCTGGTGTCATCTTTGAGCGCCATTCTGGATACGCCGTGTCGACGTATAGGTTAAAGAGTTCAATTACCACAACGCTAAATCATGATCATGGGTGTTAGTAATCGAGATGAAGATGTGCCGCTGGGTGTAAAGATGGGTGCATCTACGCGAAAAGGTGCTATATAGCTATCAAACAATAGATATTTTACAAACACTCACAGTAACTACACAATAAGGACTACATCTGGGAGATACTTCCACTTTCGTGTCATACCGATTTCTGATCTTGCTCAATTTTATTAAAATAGGCCCCGCATTGTTTAGGTTTTCATTGGAAACTGTACTCCTTGAATGGATGTTTCAGTCGAGAGTAAGAAATCTGTTGCCATTGGTAGCATATGAGCACCATCGAGCCATAACCACCAATACGTGTTAAAACGCGCCAGTGCGTCGCGTGTAGAATCAGCGCATTACGTGAAATCGCGAATACTTTTTCTACGGAAAGAGCGCGTGGTGCCGAATCTAAAAGTCGCAAGGTGATGCGTTGTAACACGTACATAAAGTTATGGCTTTACGGTGTTCCTTTGTGCACTAATTACCACGAGTTTCTTATTCTCGACTGAATTATAATTCAAAAAGTATACTTTCGAATGGAAGCTGAGTAGATGTTGTGCCTATTTTATTTAAATTAGACAAGATCAATTTTAAAGCAATTGGCATTCACTAAGAACTCCTCGTGAATAACGCAATTCCCGTATCCACTGCCAGGAGACAACATAAACAAACGCAATTGAACCACTAAAAAATGTCCGATATAAAAAAAGGGCCGCCAGTAAGTGTGGCGCTGTGTTTAAACGAATAAATTTCAGTTGATTGGCCTCCCTTAACGCGGCAGGTATTCATGTGCGACGATTGGACCTTTTGTGTAAGACTATATTTTGCTGTTTAGTTTTAAAAATGAAAAAAACAGATTAAAGTTTGCGTTTGTCCCTTTCTCGTCCACATTTGTTAGCACTCTGCCATATTTAGAAGCTGTGTTTCCATCCTGACACTTCTTACAAAGGGCCCTGTAAGCGATGTGGGACTAGAAGAATACACCACTTATAGTATAGCGCCGTGAGCCTTCCAGTTATCGAGTGTGGCCAATGTTCTCGTGAATACTTTTGCAAGAAGGCATTGACAAATGAAACCTACAGATGCACGCGAAATAGTAATTCGAAGATTAGGAGCACCATTCGCATTTTTTTTGCGCATACGAGTCCTAATGACCGATATGCTGCGCTCTTACGCAATATTTCGTGATGTGACGGCACACTGCTAATGAGTTAACGCATGGAGTCTCATCGAAGTGTTTGCGATGCGGTCTTACGTGATCCATTGACGATGCCTGCAGCGCAGTGATGGCACTCTCGCGTTCTTTGCACTGAGACAAGTCCTTGATACGGCGAATGCTCATTGAGGACCATCCCTTTGGTAGCGTCTCGTAGATCGTGGGGCACCTGCCAGCGATGTCAAGCTACAAAAAAAGAAGTGTTTTATGAAAACAAAGCGAAATGCGCCACGATTTAATTCAGGCATAACCAGGATTTCGGGACATGTGGAACTAGCAACATCTTTCATTGCTGACAGCGGTAGTCTTGGACAAAAAAATAATGTCTGATTGAAAAATGATTTTTGGTAATGTGCAGCAGAGACCATCACCCTTCTCGTTCAGCTACAGCATCGAGCTCCGTATGTGTATTATGTATGTTTATTGTTCCCCTTATAGCCCCGCCGCAGTGGTCTAGTGGCTAAGGTACTCGGCTACTGACCCGCAAGTCGCGGGTTCGAATCCCGGCTGCGGCGGCTGCATTTCCGATGGAGGCGGAAATGGTGTAGGTCCGTGTGCTCAGATTTGGGTGCACGTTAAAGAACCCCAGGTGGTCGAAATTTCCGGAGCCCTCCACTACGGCGTCTCTCATAATCATATGGTGGTTTTGGGACGTTAAACCTTACATATCAATGTTCCCCTTATATTCGCAATGGGCTGTGTTTAATTTTCCTAGGAAACTACATGCTTTGTAATGTGATACTACAGTTTCACTTGAATGCTTAATACTTCTGCGTATATTCGTCTTCGATAATTGGCCTTTTTCATTTGGTACTATTTATTTTTTAGCTACATCCTATTCAGTTAAGGCATTGCTGCAGCCGTGAGATGGCGCCACGAACAGGTGTCCCGAAATCCTGGGAATGAGGGCTTTGGTCTGCGTGCGATATCTGCCAGGTGCACGATGAACGAAAGACAGACGAACAGTGGGGCCACAAACCAGGTTCAGCACTGGTACATACGTCGTCATCCGTCGTGCTGTTTAACCTTTCAAATTTACGAACCAAGACTTGACGAAAGTTGATAGCTTTCACACGTCCACGAAGAGAAGAACACTATCCATGATAATGGGCTTCTTGATGCTGATCATATAAATGTTCAGCAGTGGCCGAATTATTCATGTCAGTGGAACTATTGCACCTACCCGAAGACTTGGTACTATTGCACCCGCCGAGGAACTTACTGAGTCTGATGTAACGGTGGCTACAACGACATCGAGAATAACGTCAAGTCTCAACTGTTATTGCTGCTTCTGCCTTGTTCGCCATTAGCCCATAGGACTGCTGACAGAGAAGAACGCGCTCATCCTCAGTTGTGCTCTCTCTCCGCAGCCTTCAGCTGATTAGCCGTTGCACTTTCACACCTAAGCGCTCACCTCAGTCACGTCCTCGCTGACTTCCAGCTCCTTCATGCTGTTCTGGAGCAGCGACAGGATGGCCTTTTTGATGTTCAAAGCCCTCGGTGTCTCACCCAGCGCGGGGCAGAGGTTGTCCACGCGCCCGTCCTGGTACGAGAAGCGCAGCGGATAGCGTTCCAGCACATCCCTCAGTTCCGCCATGCTCGGAGATGGTCTCCGCTGTCCAGGTCGTGCGGGGTCTTCTTCCTCCAGGCTGAAGCCCCGAACCTGCGTCACGGTAAACAGCCTTGAAAGATAAAACCCGCCACAGTCATCTAGAGGTTACGATAGTATACTGCTGACCCTAAGGTGGCAGGATTGAATGCAGGCCGCCACAGCCACGTTTTCGTTCGAGAAGAAAATAGTTAAGGCCCGTGTGTCTAAATTTTGGAGCGCGTTAAAATCCTGAGGGTTCTTAATTTCCGGACAACCCAACTCTAGCGTATGTCTTAATTATATCGTGAGTGTGGGATGTTAAACCCTAATAATTAACGATGTTGCTTGCAACCTTGAAAGAAACGCGAAAAATGCATATCCACTTTCACGACGGATCATCGACACTAAGCAAACCTCGAATGTAAACAATCTAAATGCGACAATATGGATGGAAAGAGGAAGATGTTGATATTGCCATTTCGGGAAGGATATGCAACGTTGTCGTGGCCTACGCAGCGGAACACAAAGACTTCGTGTGGACTAGCGTGACTGATGCAATTCACTCTGATTCTCACTCGGTACTATGAGTTTCGCTTGCATTTCCATGCTTTCTAGAATACGCTGTGGGGTTAATTATCTCACGAAGACTTTTTTGAGGCTTTTTTCCCCTTCTGCTGGCTGATAACGTTCGCTGACAATGTTGCTCACCTGTAGCAAGAAGTCACACGATCCCAGGGGTTCGACTTCAACCTGGCCGGACATGTGAACAGCCACCTTCTGAGAAGTGGTGCCTTGCACTGCTGTCTCGGTCGTCGATACATAGTCGTATACGTACGTCGTGCCTGGTTGGTAGGAAAGCTTGCGGCCTTCTGCGGCGTTGAAGAAATTTTGCCATCGTTAGATAGGAACTGCATTAAAACACTTCACATGTGATCTTTTTCTTTCCAAAACAGGATGCTCTACTTTGCTCGAGAGCACAGATTTTGAGCCTTTGTTCGTGCGTTTCGTGTCCCGGCAAAACGTTTTTTTTTTTCGAAATTGGATAGCGTGAAATTTTAGACAAAGAGGGGATAGAGATACAGAGTAGAGATGCACCTGTGTCCTTTCTTTGCATCGCCCAATTTTGTGCTATAATGTATTGGATATTGTGAACCAACTGCCTCAGCAACTGTCAAACATCACAACCGAGCATGAAGGGAAGCAAGAAGCATCAGAAGGGCAGGCGACCCTGCAAGGACACCGATTGTAAACGCTGTTTAGTGCACAGCGGGCGCCAATGCAATGCGCCGTCACACACGACTTCTCCGGTCGTTGATTGCAAACAGAGTGGTACACGAGTGGTCTTTCGGCGGTGAGTTATATGACAGGAGCTCCTAAAGTTAAATCAATGCACTGCGCACCACGCAGCTTTCTGCGATTGTCAACCAGTTATTAAACGCGAATAATTTCTTAGCAAACTTCGGCGACTCTGCGCGTATCTGTCTGTCTGTCTGTCTGTCTGTCTGTCTGTCTGTCTGTCTGTCTGTCTGTCTGTCTGTCTGTCTGTCTGTCTGTCTGTCTATCTATCTATCTATCTATCTATCTATCTATCTATCTATCTATCTATCTATCTATCTATCTATCTATCTATCTATCTATCTATCTATCTATCTATCTATCTATCTATCTATCTATCTATCTATCTATCTATCTGTCTGTCTGTCTGTCTATCTATCTATCTATCTATCTATCTATCTATCTATCTATCTATCTATCTATCTATCTATCTATCTATCTATCTATCTATCTATCTATCTATCTATCTATCTATCTATCTATCTATCTAGCGGCCTACGACATTTATCTTTCCTGGCCGTTTCGATAATGGTATCAATACCAAACTGGGTATGGCAACACATGACTGTAAAAAGAACGTAGTTGATTAGTCATAACATGAAAATTATGACATGGATGTCATGAATGTCATGATTTACATTTAATATTCCTGCAGCTCTTGCGGTGGTTTCGCTCACATGGCATGTTGTAAAACTGGTATGGTATGACATGATTGCATGGCGAACACAAGCGACAGACCATAACGAGGGAATCATGACATGCGTGTCGTGTAAGTCATTAGTCATGACTACACGCCACGCTCATAATGCGCTCGCAGTCGTCTCACTAGCTTCGTCTCGCTAGCATCACATATGCCAAATTTGATATTACGGTACGTGAATAGATGACGAAGGTATGTGACTGGTGCAAACATGATAATCATGAGATGCGTGTCATGTATCAGCGTGCCTACATAACACGCTCATGATGCGCTGCGGCCGTTTCATAGCTTCAAACATGCCAAATTTGGTATTACGTGACGTCAATGAATGACGAAGGTATATATATGGGACTGGTGCAAACATAATAATCATGAGATGCGTGTCATGTGCGAATGTGACTACAAGCTACAGTCAAGGCGCCTATACATTTCAGCGTGACGCAGTGTGCGTGCTCACCGGCGTTCATTTTAACGGGTCGCATCGGCGTTGCGACGCCAGGCACCGGTCCTGCCATGTACTCGCAGGCGCGCGCCGTGCTGCGTTGCTTTGGCGCATGCGCGATTCAGCGTGTCCGGCGTGCTCCGTCACGAAAAGAGGGATACGCATGTTGCCTGGGTAACGCATTGTTGCGAAATGCAGCATGTCGCATTTCGCACCGGTGGCCGTTGGGCCCCGCCGACGGACGCTGGTCGTGCCGGTCGCGCCTGGCGTCAGACTATAGAGTGCTCGCGCTTTGCTAACGTAGCGTCGCTGTGCACAGCGTGCGCGCGCGTCAACGCTACATTGGAGTATATTCGGCCCTTCATGATACGCTCGCGGCCATTTTGCTAGCTCCACATATACCATATCTGGTGTTAAATGACGTCAATGAATGACTGAAGTATATGACTGGTGAAACATGATAATCCTGACTCGCGTGTCATGCAAGAACATGACAACATGCCACGCTCATAGCGAGCTCACAGTCGTTTCGCTAGGTCCCCTTTTACTAAATTTGTTATCACGGGACATGAATAGATGACGAAGGTAAACGACCCATCCAAACATATTAATCATGATAGAGAAGTCATGTACGGCATCATTTACCTCTACCTCGTAACGTTGGGCTGATTTTAAGATGATATAACAACCTTTTCCATTCGTGCTTCGCATATCATCGATTCCTACTGTACGTGGGATCTGCAGTTTTTTGTCAATAATGTTTAACGCAACCATATACAGGCCACTGCAGCAAAAAAAAAAGAAAAGAAAGAAGGTGTTCGAAGAAGCATTTTAAGCCAGCACAGGCATACTGCGCGTTTCCCTCAGTTTCTTTGCCTCATATACAGGATGGTCAGCATGTGTAAATGGCCTAGTTGAAATTACGCATTACGCAGTATGGCTATCATAGCCAATTTGCTGCAGTGATAAGACTTATTGTGTGTTCACTGTCCTAGATGAGCCATTAATAGTTACCACCCAAGCAATCGGTATAAATAGTTAACCAGTAATAGCTTAAACGTGCGGCCCCTGTGTTTAGCACTTGGTTGAACCTGGCGTGGCACTGATGCTTTTCACAATTATTGGTTACATTTTGATTCATCTTAATGATGTTAGACACACATTTGCTTTGGGTTTACCACATTGTTTATTTTACGTGCCGCAAATTGTACCTCGCATGGTCATGGTCATGGAGGAGTGCAATGACCAGGTATAAATGCGTTTCGCAATGCGTTAATCACATTGGTTGTTCTACAACCGCAAGCAGCCACAGGGGGGCAGTGATTCTTAAAAGAGTGAAAAGTGGAAAAAAGTGAGGCCCGTCACTGTATGCATCGCATTGCGGCACCTCAACAGTAGCTCACGAGGGATGGGGATAAGGAGGAATTCAAAGGATAGGGAGGTATCAATGTATAGAAATAGATAGCGGTGCAGGGACAGAGAGACCACATACGGAAGTGAGGAGAAGATATGAAAGATGGACATGATCGTAGGAGTTCGAGGACGCGGCACCACTCGACGAGAGCTGTTGTCGGCGTCAGAAGATGGCATAGGGCGAAGCAGTCGGCCAGAGCTGCGCTGTCGTCGGAGATCGCGGGGGCACAACCAGTCGGCACGAAATCCAGCGAACGAGTGTCGCAGTCGAAAACAATGAGCCGCTGGGGAAATCCGAGCCGAAAGCGGGCCTTCGCCCCGGCGAACGCGCTCCTGCACTCGACGAGGTCATGGCTGCAACGGCACAGCGTTGTTTCGAGCATTTCACATCACGAGCTAACTCAGTGGTGTGGTTTGCAAGATCCGTCCGTCACCGACGCTTGCATTCTCTTTCGCGATTTAGCGCGGCTTGGAAGGCTGCTGTATCATCGGTGCACACTTGCTGCCGTGACTCCGCCTCCCGGGACTGTTCTTCTGCCTGGTTTGCACCATCGGCCCGACGAATGTGAACTCTCTCCCATTTCTACTGTAGGCACGTTCATAGAGTTGTGAGTGGCGTACCTAGGTGGAAGGTTCGGGGAGAAACTCATGCGTGCTCGGCGCGACGGGATGGACGGCTAACGACACCCGCGCGCGTTGGGGTACGACACAGCGAATGACGTCACTGATGAATAAGACAGCCAACGGAGACCGTTCATGACAACACTGCCAGACGGTTTTTGTTGCCCCTAGCCGTGTACAGCTTTCGCTGTAAGACAAAAAATATGGAAGGGCCATTACTGTGGCAATACTGAAATTCTTTACCAAAACCTAGAGACGCGCCGAGTTTTTGTGGCTCCTTAGAAGTGGCTGAGGAGCCATGAGAAGAGCATTCCGTATTACTTATTATCATTACATGAAGTAAGTATTTCTGCATAAACTGACGAAATACTTTCGAGTAGGTCACGTGCATAGCTCTACAAAATTTCTGTGATTGAAGCATTGCGCAGGAGAGCTCTGAGGAGAAATATGTATTTCTTACCAGTGCAGTGCCGTGAGCAGGTTTTGCTGCGTTCTACAGGACCTGCAAAAAAAGAAAAACGCGTTAATTTTGAATGAATTGATAAGTTACTGGACAGCGTACAAAAGACAAAATTGGTCAGAAAGATCAGATGCGATTTAAAATGATGTGCTTAAACACGTAAGTACTGCCACTATAAATATGGGGAAGCTTGCATGGCGCATTGTTTTAAACAGGGACGTTGGGCCATTCTATATAAGTAACCTCGAGACTTTTGATAGGGTATGCTAGTTAGTCTTTAGGTTGTTTACGCCTTTTTCTTGGGCTTTTTCTAGGTGATATTAAATTGCTTTTGGGTTGCTTCTCTGCGCTGTGAGGTTCAATTTAAACCACAGGCCATGACAGGCGTGACACGGATAACCAAACTCCAGGTACAAACACTTGCGCTCAAGCAAAGCACCTGCATGGATATACGGGCACGTAGACGTTCGTGTATACTGCTTGCTTCGCTTCGGGGGGTTTTTGTTTTCGCTGCCGTCGCTGCCTTTCCCGTTCTCTAGTATTCTGCCGTTGTACGTACTGCTCAACATACCATGCGGATGCTTAAAAAAAAAACTGAAACATGCATCCACGCGTTTGTCACTGCGGCTGTTTAATTCTTACGATTTATAAAGCTTTTCTTAAGGACAGGTTAGGTGTTTCCAGAAATCTTAATTGGCGTTTGCCGGTCCGCTGTTGCCTTCTTCATCTTTAGTGAAGCAGCGGTGGCTAGGGGAATCTGTCTTAGCTTTCTGGAGAGGGGGGAAATTACCGTTCATGAAGTGACAGTTTTTGCACAGGTGTGTTCTCAACAAAGCTTTCAGGGCTGGCTGGAACCACTTCACTGCCAAATAAGAAAAACGCCTTTTGCTGGTTTGCGGATTCAGTGCAGTGAGCGTGCAGGACCCACCCATTTTGTATAGAGATGTGACGCAATACAGCTTGAAAGAATGCACACTGGTACGAAAGCAGAGTACATCATAGCGAAGCGTAAAGCGCCACGCAATACTTCTGTAATACCCACAAAAGCTCACTTACGTGCAACATAAACAAACCAATGATTCTTATATCGGCATCGAGGGATGTAAAGTTCTGTCTACTGCTAAAGAAAGCACTTGCGCGCACAGCACACTTGTATTTCACTTTTTTGCGTTGTTGCTTCATTCAACAGTGATCCTACGACAGGTGACATTGTCGCTACTCAACAAAAAATACGGCCAGAGGACCCACATTTACACCGATGGATCGGTCTCGGCTGACAGCTCCACAGGTGCTGTTGTCATCCCGGCGTACCAGGTCACTATAAAGCTCAAACTGTCGCATAGGACAACATCCACAGCAGCGGAGCTTGCCGCCTTACGTGCTGCTATACTTTATATTGCGGAAGCCCGACCTCAAAAATGGGCTGTGTTCTGTGACTCCAAGGCATCCCTTCAGAGCTTGCAATCAGCTTTACGACAGAGGGAGCATCAACAACTAGTGAATGAAATAGGAGAAGTGATTCACGAAGTTTTATCGAAAGGACAAGACTTGGTGTTCAAGTGGTTACCGGGACATTGTGGTATTGTCGGTAATGACCTTGCTGATAATGCTGCCCAATCCGCCCACGCGGACGCCCAGACAACCCCAATTCCATTGTCGAGAACCGACGCTGCAAGGGGCCTTCACTCGTTCGCTAACACCATGTCGGAAACTTGGCTGAGTGACCCCAGTGTCAGGAACCGCCGCCTACACAAATTGGACCCATCGAGAAAGCTTCAAGTTCCATCGGACCTCTCCCGCCAGGATGCAACTTTACTGTGCCGCCTGTGGTTAGGAGTAGCTTTTACAAAGGCGTACTCCTTTCGCATAGGAATGGCGGATAGCTCCCGATGTGAATCGTGCGACACTGACGAGACAATAGAACATCTACTGTGTTCATGTGAACGTTTTGCGAGCGAACGCAATTTGCTACGCGAAACGTTGGAGACACTAGACAGCAGACCTTTTTCCGAAGAGAAGATACTTGGCTCATGGCTCTACGCGTCGCAAGCCAGCAAGGCGACGCGGGCATTGCTAAGTTTTCTAAAGACGACCGGACTACGCGACCGCTTATAAGCGTGCAATAGACAAGGTCACACCTACATACACGTTGCCCTTCACTTCTCTCTCTCTTCTCCTTTTCTCCCCTCACCCCTTCCTCCAGTGCAGGGTAGCAAACCGGACGTGCGTCTGGTTGACCTCCCTGCCTTTCATTTCTTCCCTTCCTCCTGCGTTGTTGCTCAGATTTACTCGAGACTTCTTTTGATTAATAATAACGTAGCGTGTAAAATATCTGAGACAAAGGACAAGGGACACAACAAAAGAAAGCGCTTACTTCCAACAGAATTTTGTTGGAAGTAATAAATTTTGTTGGAAGTAAGCACTGCCCTTCGTCCTTTCCCTTGACCTGTATCACACATATTTCACGCACTACGTCATTAGCTATGTCTTACTAACACGACCAACTTCATACGTGTCAAATATTCGGGTGATTGGCCGTTCTGGCTCCTTTTTTACCGACTGGTGTCGTGCGCAAACATTCTTTTCTGATTCACTTGCTACTACAGGGCCGGCAATGTGAACGGTGCTCATTGTAGTGTCTCTTCAAACGTGTATGATACTGTAAATTATTATCAGTAAAAGTCTTCGTGAAAGAAAGGGACTACATATTACAAATACTAACACATTAATAAATATTTAGCTTTACAAAGGGTGATTCGTGATACATCGTAGCCACACGTATATATATATATATATATATATATATATATATATATATATATATATATATATATATATATATATATATATATATATATATATATATATATATATATATATATATAATGGCTACGAAAGCTACATTACATGTCACACTGACGAAGGCTGGCCCACCAGCCGAAACGTATGTGATTAATAAAAGTGTTTCCTCGTACGTCGTCCTTTCTCGCTTCCGTTTTTACTACGGAGCCAGTGCGCTTCCTTCCTCGCTACGTATATATATATATATATATATATATATATATATATATATATATATATATATATATATATATATATATATATATATATATATATATATATATATATATATATATAGATATATATATATATATTGTTACGAGTAGCTCGTTTTATAACCTAGTTACGATGCACAGTGTTGGGTGAACAAGATGATAGTGCTAGTTCAGCCACAACCAAAAATAACGTGGTTTTCCTCTTTCTTTCAAGCAGCCATGCTGTGGCGGCTGTTATGTGTCATAACTCCCGCCGGTGGTTAGCAGCACCGTATCGGTGTTTAATCTACGCAGATGAAGTCGAAGGAGGGTAACAAGACTTGAGCCGAGCCACGTAAACGGTGTCACTTAAAGCTGACGATGACGCTGTTGGATCGGTTCGGAAGATCTCGTAGGTGACATCAGTCACCTAGGGAACGATACGGCATGGTCCAGTGTTGCGTGAGAGCAGGTTTTCGCAGTCCCACACGCCGATTCATTTACTGGAGAACTTGTGGGGCTATTGGGTTGATTCTTTGCAGAAAAAAGTGCACTAATATAGAAAAGAACAGCCCCAAGAAAAAACAATCAACAGATAGAGCACCAATTATCAACTGTATTATGGACTATAGAGCATCGGTTAAGCAGGGAAACGAAACGTAGCTTCGCAAATGTGCGCAGAAACATCACGTGACAATGGCCCATATTCATCAAATAGGACCCTTTCGCACAGTACAGAGATGCCAAGGCCTCACTTACACAGCTATCACTTTTCGTGTTGATAAAAAACGCTTCCAAAATCTCAAGAGCACACGTATTTTTTTGATGCCCTGGTATCTTAATCTGTGGAAATCGCGCGTCGCATCTACAGGCTGTGCAGTGAGCAGCTAAACTAACCATTCCATCATTTTTGATCGACAGATGGTGCTCACTCGCGCAGTCGTTTCATCGGTGGTTTGTCTGACCCACACAAGAACGTGGTATCTCGCACACCACTTCCACATCGCATTTCACCACTGGGCTGGTACGCTTCTTGGTACACAAGTAAGCGCGCTCTTCACCGCTGTAAGTTCGTTAGCACAACCCTCGAAAGCTTCCTACGTGCAGAAAAAACCATGCCAACTCCGTGGTGGTGGGCAACATTTTTCGGGTTGTGGGGCAGCCAGTGTAAATAGCGTAACACTATCTGCTTAATTCTCACACTCAATGAATGAGTCTTTGAGCTGCGGTTTCCGCGAGCACCCCGTTTAGCTTCCTAAGGAAGGTTTCAGCCACTGCCGCCAGCACAGACTGCAGGAACCCAGCTGCCTTTAGTGTTCCAATTTGAGCAAGGAAGCTTTCCAGCCTTTCGTGCAAGCACGATCTCACCTGCGCTGACTCCAAACACAGTGCCGTGATCGCCCTCCTTACTACCTTAGACCTTTGGGAGCACTGCAAACAGCCTCTGATACGCGGAGACGTGCTACGTCAAAATTGTTTATAGTAAGACTCGACGGGTGAGATTTGGGTGCGCTTCCCTTTAAACGTAAAGCGCAAAGAAGTGATTGACAGAGGACAAAAGACACGCACCCGTCTTTTGACGACTCTTTGCGTTCTAGCTTCAAGCATCATGGTGGACCTACGAGCCAAAACAACCACGCGTCTTTGCTCTCCAAATAAACTTTTGTGTACGGGCGGAAGCATACGACCATTTTTTTGTCTTAAAGTAAGCAAGTTCGCCGTGTGGACAAGACGCCTTCAAGATTTCGCCCCATCACAGCGCTAACTGGCCTCGTCGATAAGCGGCTGTTTACCATGCACTTTCACTCATGGGCATCTTTTGTTGTTTGCTATTGACTGCCGTCCTGAATGACCTTTAGTACCAAAGATTACCGTTGCTTGGGGGTCGCCCCGTCCTTCTCCTCGAGGAACACTTTCCGCCGACAATCGGCCACGTGGTGATACTTTGGAGTGTTTGCTGGCGCGTGCAGTCTGAGCACCATCCAGCTTGGCGACAACACTCGCGTC